TGCCTGACTGCCAGTGACACGGAGAATCACTACAACTGGCAGAGCCAGAATCCCGGTGGGGCCGCCGGGAGCTGAGGGGTGAAAGCTGGCCGCTCCAGGGGTCCGGTTTCCGGGCCCACCTGGGCTAGAGCCCCACCTGGCACAAGCTGTGCAGCTCCCCACCGCCCCACCCACGGGGTGAGAGACCCAGGACGCAGCAAGAAGCTCGCCGCCCTTGTCATCCCTTCGTGCCCAGCCTCCTGGGTCGCCTCCCATCTCCTCGCCACCCCGCCAGCCAAGCGGAGGTCCTCATTCTCCCAAGTCTCCCCGGTGGCCTCCTCCGGCCCGCGAGCTCTGGCAGCCCAGGGCTGCACACACTGCCCGACGCTTCCACCGCGCGCCCAAGCCGGTCGGGGCCGACCTTCCGCCGGGCAGGTCACTTAAGCCTCCGCGCCGCCGTCCCTGCCCGTCGCGACCTCGGATGAAACCTCCCGAGGCTCCGCCTGGGCACTCGGTCTGCTGGGCCCTCCCACGCCTCCCTTCGAGCCCGCCCACTCGGCTGGCTCTTTCACGGTCCGCAGTCGGCCCCGGCGGCTCCCGCCCGCCCGCGCAGCCCGCCCTGGAGAGAAAGCGCGCGGAAGGGGCTGCTCACCTGGGCGTCGCAGGTCCGCCAGGAGGGGCGGGGCCAGACGGAACGGGCGGGGTCGGGCGGCACCCGGGCCAGACGCTCCCTCCCGCTTCACTGCCTCAAAGGCCGCGGGGGCCGGAAACGGCAGCGCGGTCGCCTAGCACTTCCGGGGCTGCTCTAGGACCGCGGAGGACTCACGTCGGTGGTCGGGTGGGGTGAGGGGCGCCGGAGAGTGTCCCTGTGGGCTGGCGGACCGGCAGGACAGGCTGGACCCCGAGTATCGAGCCCACTCTCCGCTCCAGGCCCGGGCCAACCTTGTACAACCTTTTTTTTTTCTCGACAAGAAAAGAATCTGTTTGCATTTCCCAATCTGTGTGGAAGGGGAAACACTCGGGCCAGCGGACCAGAGAGGACCGGGTCCTCCCGGTGTCCTAGAGCTTCCCGGAAGTATTTTTGGGTCGCTTCCGGCCGCCCCGCCGCTTTTTGTTCGGGCCATTCGGCTTGAGACCGCGCGAGTGCCAGGTGGGGGGCCGCTCGGGCCTGTGGGCGCGGTGGGTTGGGTGGCCCCTACCGGGAGGGGGCTGCTGAGCGGCACGCGGTCTCTTGGTCGCCGCGGCTGGGTAACTCTGGAGGCCGGAGGCCTGTCCGCGACAGTGGCGCGCTGGCCCGCCGATTCGATGCTGCTTAGGGCGCGGCCGCAGAACGCTGCCCGCGGCTCGTGCCCACGTAAGGTGTCCAGGATGCGACGGCGAGCTCAGGGCATGACTCGAACCGGCCTCATATCTGTCACTCCTTCCCCCGCGCCGGTGGCTGCTCTCTTCCCCTCCCTGCCGTCTCTCTTGCTAACTCCTGCCTCCCCTCTTCCTGAAACCATCTGATCCCAGAGTGCTTCCCATCACATGGGCTGTCAGTCGTAGTTCCCACTGTCACTGTCTTGAAGGTGGAAATCGGGTCAGTCCTCAGTCACTGACCCAAAGGACGTGGGAAGTCACTAGGCTTCTCTCCGCCCCCTCCAGGTAGTTCCAGCTGGGACCTGCCTCTGAGCTGATTGATCAGAGAGGAGGAAGCCGTAATGTCTGCCGTGGGAGCTGCAGCTCCATACTTGCATCACCCTGGTGTCAGTCACAGCGGCCAGGTGAGTTTCCTGGGGGCCCAGCTCCCCCCAGAGGTAGCAGCAATGCCTCGGCTCCTGGGGGACTTGGACAGGGGCACGTTCAGAAAACTGTTGAAACTGGTGGTTAGTGGCCTGCAGGGAGAGGACTGCCGTGAAGCTGTGCAGCGCCTTGGGACTACTGCACACCTGTCGGAGGAGCGGCTGGGTGCCCTGCTTGCTGGCACCCACACGCTGCTCCAGCAGGCCCTCCGGCTGCCCCCAGCCAGCCTGAAGCCCGACGCCTTCAAGGACCAGCTTCAGGAACTCTGCATCCCCCAAGACCTGGTCGTGGACTTGGCCAGTGTGGTGTTTGGGAGCCAGCGGCCTCTCCTTGACTCTGTGGCCAGGCAGCAGGGGGCCTGGCTGCCCCACATTGCCAACTGTCGGTGGAGGGTGGATGTGGCAATCTCCACCAGTGCCCTGGCCCGCTCCCTGCAGCCAAGTGTCCTGATGCAGCTGACACTTTCGGATGGGTCAGCACACCGCTTTGAGGTCCCCACAGCCAAATTCCAGGAGCTTCGGTACAGCGTGGCCCTGGTGTTGAAGGAGATGGCTGACCTGGAGAAGAAGTGCGAGCACAAACTGCAGGACTGACCTGCACTCCCAGTTGCCCTGGTGACCTGGGGGCAGTTGTCAGACATCTCCAGAAGGAAGCCCATCCTGCCTAGGAGGCACTCTTCAGTGAGAATGTGAACGCAACCATGTCACTCTCTGTTTGATTAGAAAAAGTCAGCACTGTTTTTCCTTTATTTGGTAGTAAAGCAACAATTAAAAACATGTCTTCCTGGGTGGTGTCACCCCGCACACAACTCCCCTGGCTGTTGGTGGCATTGCTGGGTGTGGGTACTTGCTGCTCCAGGGTGGCCAACTGGTCCAGTCAGTCTAGGGCCCAGTCCAAAGTCTTTATGCAGATGCCGTTTGTTCAGCTGGGCCCCAGGTAGCATCTGAGTGTTCTGCTCATTTGTTTCTATGAACCATGTGTTTCAGAGTGGATATTTCATTCTCGTCCTAAATCCCTGATAAGGAGCCAGCATTGTAGTGTGGAAAGGAAGATTTTACAGAGTATATAACAAATGACTTGGTGTAGCTTGTTATTGGATATAGTAAATGATAAAATAGACCAGTGTCCAGGGAATGGGAAGCAGGACTATGGGAGAATTGGGTTGTCATTTTACATTGGGTCATAAGGTGGGCTTCCTAGAAGAGTTGGTATGTGAACAAAGACTTGCAAGAGGTGAGGGAGCAGTGACCCAAGGGAGACTTCTGGGTAGAAGGGGAGTGAAGTAGAGGGGAGTGAGGGTACCAAGGGCATGCCCTACCCTAACAGCTGTTTTAGAAGGATCATACTGGGTGTTGTATTGAGCCCAGGAAGGAACAGGGGCCTTTCCCAGCACCTCCAGGGTGGGTGTGCTGGTCAGCTTGGTTGGTGGTCCCAGAGGACACACATTTAGGGCTGAAAGCCACTGAGACCTGGGAGTTTCTGGTGTGCAAGATTACCAGTGACATTTGTCCAATGCAATCAGGGAGACCTTGGGTCTGAGCCCAGCCCATCAGGGTGCTAGGAGCGCCACCCCCACTGTGGGACCTTGTGGCTGAGACTCCATGGCTCAAAATTATGCACCTGGTAGCAGCGAGGAAATGAGCCTTGCAGGCCACCCTTGTGTTACTGACCCCAGGGGTGGAGATGGGCCTGTTACTCAGAACCTACCTCAAGCCTCTCAGCAGCCCCTGCAGCAGGGGGTGGGCAGTCACTTGGAGCTGCAGCATCAAATAGCAGGTAACCACTGGGATTTTCACACCATTTTTCTGCCCACCAGGCCACAGAACGCAGGTGCACCCAGCTGGAGTTTACTGGCTATCTCCATGGCTGTGTTACTGTGTCTACTCTGGTAGTCCACTCTGAGGGCCACTAAAGGGTCAGCAGACTGGGGAAGGGGGATTTCTGAGGCACAGCTTTTGGTCCCAGCCATATGTTCCCACTTCCACCCTCACCCCAGGTAAGTGGGGGCACCCACCAGCCTCCCCTACCCCCACCAGAAGATGATCTGTGCCTTTTGTCACCCAGTTAGGACCAGGTGGTTGAGGTGTTCTCCATCTTACCCTGGCCAGGTAGCTCAAATGGCTAGAGCGTAGTCCAATATACCAAGGTTTCAGGTTTGATCCCATCAGGGCACATACAAGAATCAACCAATGATGCATTAAAAAGCTGAACAAGCCGAACCGGTTTGGCTCAGTGGATAGAGCGTCGGCCTGTGGACTGAAGGGTCCCAGGTTCGATTCCGGTCAAGGGCATGTATCTTGGTTGCAGGCACATCCCTACTGGGGGGCGTGCAGGAGGCAGCTGATTGACCTCTCATTGATGTTTCTAACTCTCTTATCCCTCTCCCTTCTTCTCTGTAAAAAAAAAATTCAATAAAATATATTTAAAAAAAAAAAAAAAAAAAGCCCTGACCGGTTTGGCTCAGTGGATAGGGCGTCGGCCTGCGGACTGGAGGGTCCCGGGTTCGATTCCGGTGAAGGGCATGTACGTTGGTTGCAGGCACATCCCCAGCGGGGGTGTGCAGGAGGCAGCTGGTGGATGTTTCTGACTCTCTATCCCTCTCTCTTCCTCTCTGTGGAAAATCAATAAAACATTTTTTTTTTTTTAAAAAAAAGGCTGAACAAATCAGTTTCTCTCTCCCCTCCCTTTCTCTCAAATCAATTTTTTTAAAAACCATTCTTCAGAATCATACAAAATGAGGTGGTAGGTGGGTGTCAGCTCTAACTGCTACAGCTCCCTTGTCCCAGCTCTCATCAGGCTGAAGTGGGCAGCCACAGGATTCACTCAGGCTGCAAAAGGACCATCTACCCTTGTTTGTGGTTGATCACCATAGGGCAGGGGCTGGCTTTTCCCACCTTTGTTCCAGGTCTGCACAAGGAATGATGCACCTGGAAAATTACCTTACAGCTGTGTCAACCTTACTTAGATCCTATGGGAGCTCTTGGTAGCTGTTCCTCTTCTGTGGGTCTCTGACTTCTCAACTTCAAAGCCTGGATACTCAAATTCATCATTCATTCATTCAACAAACATTTCCTGGGCTGTGAGTATAAGTCACACACACTGGGGATACAGGTGCGTAAACTTACTGGGTTCTGCCTTGCCGAAAACACTTTGGGAAATTTCTACAAAACCTCAAAATAGTTACAATCCAACATCATAAATTAAATTTCAATCTATAATTGAGAATAAAAGCAACCAGCTTAAAATTATGGGTTTATTGACTCAAAAAGAGAAGTCCAAAGTATTTTAAAACCTATTCTTAAACAGTGCTGAAAATCCTTAAAATGAGTTTATATTTACTAAAGCCCAAATTGGGGAATATAGCAGGAAAGTAGAGCCAGGCTGGTGGCGCTCAGTGGTTGAGCATCAACCCATGAACCAGGAGGTCAGGGTTTGATTGCCAGTCAGGGCACATGCCTGGGTTGGGCTCAATCCCCAGTGTGGGGTGTGCCGGAGGCAGCCAATTGATGATTCTCTCTTATCATTGATACTTCTCTCTCTCCCTCTCTGACATCAATAAAAAATATGTATTTAAAAAAACAAAAGAATATTTCAAAACACCTGGTCTGCTTGGTAGGCATTCAAAACACCCAGTCTTATGGCCTCAGTGTTTGTTTCATGCACCAGCACCACACAAAAGCAGGCCTCGGACTGGGTTCACCAGCCCTTGATCCAGGACCATGGCTGTGCACACTCAAATGCTAAAGGAGATTTAAGGTAGAAGTCTCTGGCCTGCAGTTACTGTTAGGGGAAAGAAAGAGCATCATGTCCAGGCTGGAGTCTGGAGAAGTCCATATAATCCTCCATCCTTTTGTCCCTCATTACCCAGGAGTAGACAAGGGAGGTGGGGTCCGATGAAGAGGTCCTTCGGTGCACAACAGTACCAAGTGCCAGCAGATGGCAGAAGTGTGCTCTCTCCACTTAGGACCTCGGCTCCAGAACCATTGCTGGGTGGCCTAAAATATTTACAGCCCTTTAAAATTGGGCCCACCCATCCAGATGTGCCAGCAGTGACCACCTGGGTGAGCATAGCAGCTGAGGTGGAGACACAATGAGCATAACCTCTGCATATGCACAGAAGTCCCTGGTCCTCTGGCACTGACCATTCGACTCAAGTTCTGGGTAGAGTAGGGATGCCTGAAGAGATAGGCCCACTAATTTCATGGCATCCTGGCACCAGGTGAAGGACATGTCAGGCAGTGAGTGATGGATAAGCAGTAGCAGTTGGTGATCAGGCTGACTGGCTCCACCCATGTGCTGGAAACACAAGCTCACATAAACTTAACCACCTCAAACTCCACTGCTCCCAACAACAGCAGAAAGCTCAGGAACCTCCTAATGCAAACATGGGGATCAGCAAGCGTTTTTTTCACCTGACTCAAATCCATAGCCTGCTACAGGCTATGCCATGCACGGCGATAGAAGCAGCAAGGTCTCAAGGACGTGTGGTGGGCTTGACCAAACCAGTGTGATGGTGACCCAAATCAAGTGTCACAACAAATCCTGAAGTGACTGACCTGTGTCCCTCTGCGATACCAGTCCACATGTGGAAGAAATGGGCTCCTCCACTGGGATGATGGTCTCTCAAATATTGCCCCTCTGATTGTAGCAATGGTACCAAAGGTCAGCAGGTCTCGAGTGGACTCCTGGCCCCTGGACTCCTTCCCAAATGGTGAATACAGGACACTGGACAGGGAGGGGGTCAATGCGGCAGGTCTGTCTCATCCAGTGCCCTCCATGGCATTAACTAACTGCTCTGTGAGACAAAGTGAATGAACATGGGCCCAGCCTGTAGGTCAGATTAATCAGAGTGGCTTGGCCCATGTGGAAACTCACGTTGACCCTGGGTGGCTGCTTGCCTGGGCTGCTGATGGGGGAAGAGGTTTGAAGAAAAGGAGTCAGGTGAAGGCAGAAGGGAATTCCAGACACTCCTCTTCTGGACTTCAGCGCACGCAAGCTCACACATCCTTGCTGAAGCCAGTCTGAGTAACTAGTGCTGAAGACACTGAGTATCTCCTCTGGCAGAGCTCACAGGACTTCTCAGGCCTCAGCTGCAGAACCTGGGTTCATCCGTCTGCACACTCAGAACTCTACATGACTCCCCTGGTGCAAGGGACACAGGGTTATGGAGTGGGATAAAATCAGAATTCCAGAAAAAAACACATTTTGTATGAATTTGGATGTTTTTAAAAGAGCAATTCTGAATCTTTACTAACATTCTACCTTGTTATCAATTATCCCATATAATTTAAATAGGTAAGGCTGTGGGTTTATTCCCACTTACACACATTTAAAGAGGTGAGTGGTCTATCCCATATGAATCTTCTGATGCTGAGTGAGCCTTGAGCTCCGATTAAAGGCTTTGCCACATTCGTTACATTTATAAGGTTTCTCTCCAGTGTGAATCCTCTGATGTATAATGAGATGGGAGCGCCATCTGAATATTTTCTCACATTCATTACATTTGTGTAGTTTCTTTACAGTGTTAACTTTTTTACGGCTCACATGGGTAGAACCCTCCAGGGTGCTCCCATATTCGTGGTACCACTGGGCACGCGTGTGAATCCTCTGGTGCTCAATGAGGTACGAACTTCGACTAAAGGCTTTCCCACACTCACTGCATCCATAGGGCTTTACTCCAGCATGAATTATCTGGTGTTGGAAAAGGGTTGAGTTCTGACTGAAGGCTTTCCCGCACTCACCACATTTATAGGGCCTCTCCCCAGTGTGAACCCTCTGATGAATTGTGAGCTGTGTGCTCATACTGAAGGCTTTTCCACATTCCAGGCACTCGTAGGGTTTCTCTCCCTTGTGAATCCTCTGATGGTAAATGAGGCTTGAGCTCTGGCTGAAGGCTTTTCCACAATCACTACACTCATAGGGTTTCTCTCCGGTGTGAATTCTCTGGTGCTGAATCAGGTGTGAGCCCTGGACAAAGCCCTTCCCACACTCATCACATTTGAATGGTTTTTCTCCAGTGTGAGTTCTTTGGTGGCGAATAAGCCGTGAACTACAACCGAAGGCTTTTGCACACTTGTTGCATTTATATGGTTTCTCTCCAGTGTGAATCAGCTGGTGCTGACTAAGGCGAGAGACCCACCTGAAAGCCTTCCCACACTCATCACACTTAAACGGTTTCTCTGCAGCGTGGATTCTCTCGTGTGCAACGAGGCTGGCACCATCCAAGGTTCTTGGAACTGGAGGCTTCTCCCCCGTGTGCATCAGCTGGTGCTGAGCCAGGGTTGAGCTCTGGCTGAAGGCCTTCCCACACTCCTGGCACGAGTAGGGCCTCTCTCCAGTGTGAGTCCTCTGGTGTCTGACCAGCTGAGACTGCTGGCTGAAGGCCTTCCCACACTCACGACAGCCATAGGGCCTCTCTCCTGTGTGCACCCTCTGATGGTGGATGAGGCTGGAGCTCTGACCAAAGGCTTTCCCACACTCCTCACACCTGTACGGTTTCTCTCCCGTGTGAATTCTTTGATGCTGAATAAGTTTTGAGCTCAGGCGAAAGGCTTTTCCACACTCTATGCATTTGAACGGTTTCTCTCCAGTGTGGATTCTCTGATGCTGATTAAGCTGCGAGCACAACCTGAAGACTTTCCCACATTCCTCACACTCATACGGCTTCTCTCCATGGCAGTTACTTTGATGTTTCCCCTGTAAGCAATCAGATAACTTTTTTTGGCACTCCTGACATCTGTTAAGTTCCTTCTGTACACCAAAGTGAGGCAGAGCCACGAATCTGAAACTCCTGCCACAAACATCGCATCTTCGAGATGGCCCATCTGCAGCAACCCCTTGACAACCCAGGTTGACATGTCCCTGCACATCCTCCGTGGCAGAGGTCTTCCTGGGAGCCACAGTCCCTGTGTGCAAGTGGTGTTTCTGAAAGAGAGAGCTTAGCTTACTCTCTGGCCAGACCTCAGAATCAGAGGTGTCTCCGAAGCCCGGACTCTGAGGATAATCCCAAGGGGGGGGGTTTGACCATCGCTGCCAGAGACTCTGATTTTAGCATGTGCACATCTTCACCAGCCTGCTCACCATCAGTGCTTATTGTAGAATCTGAAACATACAGGCAGGATAAGGCTCCTTCTCCTGAGCTCACAGAAAGGACAGAGGCTGAGGTGGGGATCATCACTAGGAACTGAGCTCCCTCCTAGGACACCTGACATGCAAAGACACTATCAAAACTTGACGCCTTTGACAGTTCTCAAAATTTGGTTTCATCCATACTTTTTGCCTCACACACTCATTTAACCATAGTATACGCGGCTGAGCGCTAAGAGCCACTTTCCCACAGAGGGCCACATCAGTAGAGGTTCATTCTGTGGGGAAATGGTGTGAGGAAAAGTCCACGAAGAATGTGCGCCCTAGATGGTCTGGCTCAGTGGATAGAGCGTCAGCCCGAGATTTGGGTCAAAGGCATGTATCTCAGTTACAGGCTTGATCCCCAGCCCCAGCTGGGGTGCATACAGGAGGCAACCAATCGATGTGTCTCTCTCACATCAATGTTTCTGTCTTTCTTTCCCCGCTTCCACTCTCTCTAAAAAATCAATTGAAAAACTATCCTCAAGTGAGGATTAACAACAAAAAAAGAAAGTGAGCCTGATAGAGTAGGGGGTTTAGGGAGAGGCAGAATTAGGCCGAGAGGTCAGAGGAGGTGGTGAAGAAGAAAGAAGAATTTTAAACTTAAAACAGAGGGATGGGCAGGTGCTGAAAAAGATGAAGCAGGAAAGCTATTGAAAGGTGTACAGGGGTGAGGCTGAAGGCCTGGGCATTGGCCTGTCCCCTGGTTGGGCTTCTGAGTGTGACCCAAGGCCAGAAATCTGCTTGCTCCAGGCCACTCTCCCCAACTCACATCTGACCATTTCCCTTGCCAGTCTGCCCCTCACCTTCTCCATATGGATTTCTCCTTCCTGTGCATTTCTGGGGGGTCCACCTACTCCACCAGCCCCCACAAGCCTTTCTGACATGCACTTACCCTCTGGACTCTCCACATAAGCGTCAACCTCCTTCCTACTCTGCAATCCCAGGAATTTTTTTGCTTAAGTCAGACCCTGTCATCCCTAATCACCTCCAGGGCCATCACCAGCCTAGGGCTGTCCAACAGAGAAACAGAGGACCCAGTGACAGGGCTCCGCTGGCTCCTCACATCAGTGCTCCAGCGATGGAGACCCATCTCTATGTCAGTCCTGGCGTATGGAAGGGGCTGCATGAAAGCTAGTGAGGTCAGTAGTGGATAAGGGTGTGTGGCTCACAGAGGTTAAGTAGTTCACCCATAGTCACACAGGTAATGAGAGACTAAGGAATGAACCCAGGTCTGTTTCCCCAAAAACATACCCTTTTAACATCTCTGTGCCCTTAGGCTGTGGGACATCTCCTGCCTGGTCCTCACTGTTTATCGTTTCCGCACAAACAACCTTGGCAAACCTGCTCTACCAACAGGGCAGGAGCAGCCATAGAGATGAGAAAACAGACAAGTATTGCTCTTCTCTGCATGCTGCTTCAAGGCAGAGGACCCTACGAATAGCCATGAAAGAGCAGTTAAGGATGCCAGCACTGCCTGGGCCTCCTGCAGCTGGATGAGGACACTGCAAACCCACCTGGCTGCCTCGGAGTCCACCTCTCTCTCTCCTGTAGCCAAGTCGGCAAGCAGCAGTTAGTTACATTACATAGGTCTTGCCTCCCTACATGCCACATCCTCAGCAACAGGCTCCTACATACAGCCAGCAGGCTCCTGTGTGGCTCAGCATGCACACGTTCCTTCCCTTCAGGGTCACAAGACACCTGCACACAGTACAGCCCACTTCTTCCTATCCCCACTTACTAATGACTACTCCTTTGACAAAGATCCTCTCCTTACTAACCCAGCCAGGCTCCTCTGAGCCTTGCTGAACCAGGCCTCCCCCTTGGTACGTAAGAACAAAACCCTAGCATGGCTTCTAACAGCTCAAAGCTACATCCCTCGAATGACACCAACCCCTTAAAGCATCTGCCTAAGAAAACTGGAGGATGCTTGTCCCAGCCAACTCCCAAGAGCAGAGCCTGTCAGCAAGCCCAGGTGGTGTCACATGGACCTGCCTTTCCCTTCTGTGATCCGTCACACCCCGTGCCTGGCTCTGACACCTCTGAGCAAGTGGAAGCTGAATAAGCTCTCGGTGAACTCTGACCTACTGCAGTTGTCACTCAGACTAAATTCTGTCCTCACCACTTCAACTATGACACTGACCATGAAGTCCCCAGGGGGCCTTGAGTCCTGAGACTGGGCTGGCTGTGATGGTGGCAACTGCAAGCCCTTCCCTCTCCCATGACCAGGAGGATCCTGGAATATCAGCTGTACCAACCAACAATATCACATCTGGTGCATGTTCTAACATGTTCCACAAATTTTCATCCACGAGGCTGTCCTCTGCCCTGTACACCCAAGTCTGGGAGCAGCTCTAAGTCTCATCGCAGGGAAGTCTTCTTGATGCCCCACCAAGATGGTCATCTCCATACGTGAACCTCTTACTAAGGAGCTCTGGCTCTCCTGCCATGGTGCCAGCCTGGCCTGTGTGGCTCACTGGTTAAGTGTTGACCTATGAACCAGGAGGTCACGGTTCGATTCCCAAAGTACATACTCGGGTTGCAGGCTCAATCCCCAGTGTGGGGCCTACAGGAGGCAGCCAATCAATGATTCTTTCTCACCACTGATGTTTCTATCCCTCTCTCCCTTCCTCTATCTGAAATCAATAAAAACATGTATTTAAGAAAAAAATCTCTCTGCACCTTGGAAATGTTTCGTGGGGGCAGGGTTTTAACTGGGCCAATCTGTCCCTTTATACCCAGCATGTCAAACTTGCTTTACACCTTCCCAAAAAGGGTCAGAAAGGAGTCTGGACATGAAGGTCCTTGTTATGAGCTGATTGTGCCCCCAAAAAGTGTGCTGAAGCTCTCACCCAGAACCTCAGAATACGAACTTATTTACAAACAGGACCCTAGAGCTGGAGTTAGTTAAGATGAGATCACACTGAAGTATGGAGGCCCTAATCCAATATGACTGATATCCTTGGAAAGACAGACACAGGAAGAATGCGCTGTGACGTGGAGGACTGGGTGATGCAGCCACAAGCAGAGGAACACCTGGGGCCACCAGAAGCTGGAAGGACCCTCCCCTACAGCTTCAGAGGGGTCACAACCCTGCCAATGCCTTGATTTTGGACCTCTGGCCCCAAGAATGTGAGATACTAATCTTTATCAATTCAAGCCTCCAGTCTCTGGCGGTTTGTTATGGCAGCCCCGGAGCCTCACCTGAGAGGCTAGGGTCATCCGGGATCCCCAGAAGTTCTGGAGGGAGCACAACAGTACCAGTGACATGATGTTCACCCGAGAAGCTGCTCAGAACCAAGATTACTCCTTCTCTTGCATCCATGTTTGTATCTTAATAAGAGTATTGGTAAGATGAGAGACTTAATAAAATGTGGTTTAAAAACAAACTCGCATGGTGATCCCTAGGGTCCGCCTTCCTGGGCACAAAACCGAGCCTCACCTGTCTGGAGGGTCCTTCGTGCCTCTCTCGCCTCTGTTCCCTGCAGGTCAAGGACCCATGGCTCCTGCCCTTGCTCCAGCCGGGAGATCAGTTCAGGCTTGAAGAGCAGAAATCCTGCTGTCAAGGTGACAAAGGAAACCACGTTGGTGCTGCTGGGAATGTAGCTCAGGGCTCAGTGCCCCCTGGTTTCCAAAAGTAAAGGGGTGGGAGGCGGCTGAGGTACAGGCAGAGTCTCTGAAGGGAGGATTATAGGGTTAGGATCTGGGCACAGTAGCCCTCTCTGTCTGGTTCAGCCCAGCTCCTGAGGCTAGACAGCAAGGGATGCCTGGACTCCCAGTCCATTCCCTTATCCTTCAAGGCCAAGATCCCCAGCAGACCCTGTCACCCAAGAGTTTGCCAAGAAGAGGCCACTGTACTTCAAGAAGAGAAAAGCTAGGCACTACCAGCAAGCCCCTCAGTTCAGAGGGCAGGTGTGTGCTCCAAGAGGTAGGGGTGATTAAGAAACAAGACAGGAGCATTTGAGATCTTGCTTCTCAGCATAGGTCATCAGTTTGGGTCAAAGAAACTCTTATTAAAAAAACAAACGAACAAAAAAACCGGCCCTGGCTGAGTAGTTCAATTGCTTAGTGTTATCCTGATATGCCAAGGATGCAGGTTTGATCTCCAGTACATACAAGAATCAATCAATGAATTCATAAATATGTAGGACATCAAATCAGTGTTTTCTCTCTTTCCTTTCCTCTTTCTAAAAATCAATCAATAAATAAAAATTTGTAAAAAGGAAAAAGAATGAAAACAAAAGAACAACAAAAATAAAGCAATGAATGAAACACACTTTAAACCAGAAGGCAATGAGGTCCAGTCCTCACCCAGATACCCCCAGTCTTGCATCCTTGCACAAAGCAAAGGAGCTAGGCAGCCTGAGAAGTGGTGAAGACCTGTGGGCACCCATCTGACACCCTCCTTCCAGGGCCATCAGCCCCATGCTGCGGGGCATCAGTGTGGTGAGCTCCCATCCCATCCCTGTGGTTGGAGCTTCCTTCAGGTTTCCGACCATGGGGGTGGAGAAGGGCAGGCAGAGATCCCAAGTTGAAGGCCTCAAGTGCAGGCAGGATCCCACACTGAACAGGAAACACGTGTTCTCTCCAAGCACACATGAAGCAGTCAGAGAAACATGCTTGGGCCAGCCTTGAAGGGGTCATGGTGCAGTGCTCAGGACCCCCTGAACACAGAACAACCAAAATGCAACGGAACGTGAAAGTAACCACAACACGCAGCTCAAAACTATCAGCCACTTGGAGAGTCAGTAATGATGTACCAACTGGCACAGTTCGTAGGATGCAGCTGAAGTCGCATATAAAGACAAAAATTTACATTTTTAAACATATTTACTAGAAATAAGGACCATAGAACACAAACGAGGTAAACAGTAAATTCAAGAAATTGGAAACAACACAGCAAACACAAACACAAAAGAAAAAAATAATAAAAACCAGGCAGAATTCAGTGAAATAGAGAACAAGGACCCCACATACCACTCCCCCAAAATTGAGCAAAACCAAAACCTGGCTCTTTGAAAATATGAATAAACAGTCCTGGGGCAAAACCAATCAAGACACTGCCAAAAACTTACATAAGGGAACAGCTGCAAACATAACAGAGCTTAAAAATAAAGATGGAGAACATTATGAATAAATACATGCCGAAAATGGAAAATACAAATGAATAGGTAAATTTGTACAAAAACTAGAAATGACAAAGGTGACAAAAGGAGAAATTCACAAGCTTGTTGGACCATCAAGCATGAAAGAAGGAAGGGCTTCCCCAGGGCCCAGGTGTTTTACAGGGACTTCTACCAATGCCCCCTGGTTCAATTAACTCCATCTATATAAATTCCTCCAGAAGTTAAAAAAGATAGCAAAAAAGCTATTTTAGTTTGAATTCTATTTTTTTTAAAGCTAACCTCTTAGCCCAGACAAGAAAGAGGTTGTATTACCTCCCAGAAGTCCACATACCCTGTGAGGATTAAACCCTGTGACGGTAGCAAATCTAGGAGCCCGCCTGGCTCACCATGACCCGTCCTAGAGTCAGGACCTGACCACGTGGCCTCCATATCCCCAGCTCTGAAAGAGGCCTGGCTAGGCAGGTGCTGATCTATGATGCAGGGGGAGGGGTCCCAAGGTACAGCCTCACCTAGTCCAGCCACACTGCTGTGGTTCTCCAGCATCACCTCCTTGTAGAGGGCCCTCTGGCCAGGGTCCAGACACTGCCACTCCTCCCGTGAGAAGTGCACAGCCACATCACCAAATGTCACAGCTTCCTGAAAGGACACATAACAGCACCCCAGGGACCGCTGGGTGCCAGCCCCATTCTGGGGCCACCTCATTGTGTCTCAGAAATGTGGACCACAGGGCTGGGCGAGACAGTCACCAGGAGCCTTTGGCTCTACAATCAAAGGTAGGGGCAGTATGGAGGAGAGAAGGGACCCAGACCATGGACCTACAACCCTCCACTTGAGAGCCTCAGGCAGGCCCGAGTCCTGGCAGGGGTGTGCTCACTACCTTGGGGATGGGCATGCCAGAGTCTGGCAAGGGCCACAGCGAGAGGCTGAAGCAGAGTCTAGGTCCAGGCACAATGGGCAGGGTGAGGGAATGGAGGCAGTCAGACTCCTACCATGAGGCTTGGTGGATGAGTATCCATGTGTCCTGGCCGAGAGACCTGCTGACAGTTGTGAAAAGGTCAGAGGTCAGGATGCTGGAGGCCCCCCCCACCCCTGATGTCCAGGGTAACCCAGGGGGCAGTGTTCTCTGATCCTTTACCTCCACTTCCAGATATTCTCTGGCTGGGACACAGGGGGAAACCAAGGCAGCCACAGTACTGGAGCATATGTCCCCCGAGGCCTCGCTCATCTTTCAGAGCGTGTGGTGGTTGTGAATCACTCCAAGAACGCTTAAGGGGTGGTTGCCACCTGTGTCAGGTGCTCAGCCAGGCAATGGGATGCAGCAGTGAGCAACGCACAAGGGCTTTGCCTTCACGAAGCACAGTCTAGTAGAGAGAAAAATTAAGTAACCACCCAAATAAATGAAAATTACAACTGTGATGGCACCAACAGACATGGAACTACGAAAGCATTTAAAGTAGGATATCCTGCCCTAGCCGATTTGGCTCAGTGGACAGAGGGTTGGCCTACGGACCTAAGGGTCCTGGGTTCGATTCTGATTCATGTCAAGGACATGTACCTTGGTTGCAGGCTCCTCCCCAGCCCGGACCCTGATCAGGGCTCATGCAGGAGGCAACTAATCGATGTGTTTCTCTCACATCGATATTTCTCTCTGTCACTCTCTCTAAAAACCAATGGGAAAATATCCTCGGATGAGGATTTAAAAAAATAAAACAAAGTAGGATACGCTGACTTAGTCTGATGGGTCACTTCCTGGAGGAGTTAACTAGGCCAAGGAGGTGAAGGTAGGGAAGGCGCTCCAGGCAACAGGCCGAGCATTTGCAAAGGGCCCTGGGCAGGAAGGATGGGCTGAAGGAGCCAGTGGGCTGGATCACAGGGAAGTAGTTGTGACTGGACATCAGAGCAGCGGGAGCCTGACAATGAATCGTGGGGCAAAGAGGATTGAATACAGGACACCCCGCCCTCCCATGTAATCTCGCCCTCTCCCCCTGCCCCCCTGGCAGGTCACAATGAGGAGAGGGTTTCCTAGTGGAGCTTTGGGTCAGAAGCGGCTTGTGGGTGAATTCCCCAGGCCGTGTGCACGCAAGACTGACTGGGCAGAAGTGACCGCTGTCGGGCAGCGCTGGATCCTCACCCCCAGTCGAGAAGGGCAGCCCTGGGAGGCAGCCAGCATTCAGAGAAGACAAACTTCCTACCCACGCCAGGCACAGCCCTTCCAGACACTGTAACTAGGTCTAGGTCTTCCCGGGGCCATGACGGGAAAAGAAGGCCCTCGGAGAAAGGGGTGATGCAGGAAGGAGACCCAGGCTCCCTCTGGAGCAGGCTGGCGGGAAGGCCGCGCTGGAGCCTGCGGCACTCGGCCCAGCACCTCCCGCCTCCGCGGGCAAGGCGGCCGCGGTTCCACCACATTCCCCGCAGCCGCTCACGGCCTCTCCGAGGGGCCGCGCCACCCGCGCTTCCCCGCCGAGAGGCTGGGGCGCGCGGGGCCCGCAGTGCTGGAGGCGGACGGCCGCTGGTCCGCGCCGGCACGCCTGCGGAGGGCGCGGTCGCCGCCTCAACTCACCCTCCCGGAGGACCGCCGGGGGCTCCTAACGTGGACAACGCCGGAAACAGGCCCCGAAACCCGCGCCCGCTGTCCCATTGATTTCCGGCCCTTCTGGGCGGCTAAGAAGCTGGGCCCTCTCGGTGGTCTCGGCTCCACCCCCGGAGCGCCGGGGAAGGGGCGGGGCCAGAGCGCGGGGAAAGCGCAAAGCCCTGGGGAGGGGCGGGGCCTCAGCCTGGGGGGCGGGGCTGAGACCATGGAGGGTGGGGTCAGGGCCCACGGAAAGGGCGGGGCCAAGGTTGAGGTAGGTCAGGGTCCAGCGAAGGGAAAGAAATTCTCTTACACTCAGTCTGGTTTAAGGAGAATAAAACTGAGAATATATATTTTTCTTTATTGATTTGAAAGAGGAAGAAACATCGATTTGTTGTTCCACTTAGTTATGCATTTATTAGTTGAATCTTGTACGTGCCCTACCCGGGATGGAACCCGAAACCTTGGCTTATGGGGGCCTCCTTAGCTACCCAACCAAAACAAACTGACAGAAAAAAACAAACACTGATCCTGCCCTCACTCCCTCCCTGCCCTGCTGGCTGTCCCTCCCCACAGGTCCTGGACTCCAGGAAGCCCCATCTCCACAGCTAAGACCCTCCCACCCCCACCCCTAGCTGCTCCCTTTCCCGATTTAAATCCCACTCACCTGTCCCCTCAGGTTCTGGATAAGGTCGTCATGCTCCCTCGCCCACTCCCTACTTCGTCCTGGGCCATGGAACCCCAGCTCTGGTCTCCCCACTTACTGGCTGGCTGCCCCTCTTCCTCCGCAGAAGTCGGACGTTTGCTCTCTCTTCTAGACCCCGGTCTTCTCACTGTAAACCACGCTCCCCGAATCTACCCACCCGTTTCCTTAAAGGGGACCTCGCCAGGCCAAGTCGGGAGCTCCCGAACCCGCGCCCGGTGTGAGTCAGTCTGTGCCGGGCAGCGTGACCCTAAATAAACCACCCAACCCCTTATGGCCCTCCCTCCCCCCGATAGCTCAGTGGGCGACGCCCGCCCTCCGAGAGTCCTTCTTGAGGGTGGGACTCCCCTCTATCCTTCTCCCGGGCCCCGCCCACTGGACGACCTGGTGGCCGGATAGTTGCCTGCAGGACCGGTCACTCCAGTGCGCCTGCGCAGAGGCCCGGGCGGCAGGGTAGGACTACATGTCCCAGTGTGCACTTTGCTTGCGGCCGCGGCGCCTGCCCGGAAGTTAAAGTGGCTTTCGGCCCCGCCCCGGAAGATAAGGCCGCTCTCGGGCGCCGTGGAGCCTCTTTCCGCCGCGCTAGGCAGAAGGTAAGTTGTGTCTTTGCCCCGGCGGCTCTGCTGATATCCGCCGCCATCCGCCGTTCTCCCGCTCCCTGAGGCCCGCGAAGGACCTAGGCTGGCTTCTAAGATGACTCCCGGGTGCACGGCTAGGGGTGGTGGCACGAAGGGGGCCAGGAACTGGAGAAAAGGATCCCTAAAGCCGGGTGGCGGGAGTGCCTGCCCCCCCACCTCCCCGGGCGCTGACCATGAGGTTCCCCCAGACTGCCGTCATGGGCCGCGTGATTCGTGGGCAGAGGAAAGGCGCCGGCTCCGTGTTCCGCGCGCATGTGAAGCACCGCAAGGGCGCCGCGCGTCTTCGCGCCGTGGACTTCGCGGAGCGACACGGCTACATCAAGGGCATCGTGAAGGTGCAGGGCGCAGGCCGGGGCGGGTGCGGGCAAGGGGTGTTCCGCCCGGACCCCACGCTCACGCCGCCTCGGCCCGCAGGATATCATCCATGACCCAGGCCGCGGCGCGCCTCTGGCCAAGGTAGTCTTCCGGGATCCGTACCGTTTTAAGAAGCGGACGGAGCTGTTCATTGCTGCCGAAGGCATCCACACCGGCCAGTTCGTGTACTGCGGCAAGAAGGGTAAGCGTCATGCTTCGGTGGGAGGACGGGGTCCCATGAGGGAGGTGCACCTCCTAGGTTGGTAGGGGAGGCATCCAGGAAGAAGCCTCACAGGGTGACCTCTGCTGGGCAGAACATAACCTCTGCACTGGCTGTTTTGGGGTGTTGTGAGGAGGGAGTGGATTTGCGTTGCCTCTGGCCAGCCGTCGGACGCTATCCGGCCCGTCGGCGTGGCTCAGGTTGAGTATCGACCTATGAACCAGGAGGTCACCGTTTGGTTTCTGGTTGGGGCACTTGCTGGGTTGTAGCCTCATCCCTAGTGGGGGGAGGCTGCTGATGAATGATTCTCATTGATGTTTTTCTTCTCCCTTCCTCTCTGAAATCAATAAAAATGTTTTTGTGTGTTTTTTAATACCATTTCTCCATTCTGACTGTTCCTGCTGCACTCCCTTGCAGCTCAGCTGAACATTGGCAATGTGCTCCCGGTGGGCACCATGCCAGAGGGCACCATCGTGTGTTGCCTGGAGGAGAAGCCTGGTGATCGGGGCAAGTTGGCCCGGGCCTCTGGGAATTATGCCACGGTCATCTCCCACAACCCCGAGACCAAAAAGACGCGAGTGAAGTTGCCCTCGGGCTCCAAGAAGGTCATTTCCTCTGCCAACAGAGCTGTGGTCGGTGAGTGGCAGGCAACAGTTGAATGCTTTGGGTCGCTTGTGAGCAGCTAGCAAGCGGGTAAACCTGGGCCCTGGAACCTAACTTCCCACTCCGATAACGTGCAGGCTCTGTGCGCTGGCATAGTTTCCCAGTCGTCATATTTGAAAAGTGGGCACAGGGTACCTACTTCATCCCGTGGTGGTAGTTGGAGACCAGGTTTAAGCTACTGGACTTATCTGCATTCTCCCATAACCTGGATTTGCTTCGTTCCTGCCCTTACCTTCACCTGCTAACAATCTTTTTAGAGATGTCTGATTTCCTTGAAATTACCCAGTATGTGCATTAAAAAGGATCTGTACCCAGGTTTGTTCACTTTGCTGTTTGACAACACTTTCAACTCCTGTGGCAAAGCTGGCCGAGATATGGCATGGTGGCTCAGCCATCACATTGGGTTCAAAGGTTGAGTGACCTGCCCATGTCAGACATGGTGCGGGGAGGGCTTTCCTGGAGAACCCTGGATTGAGAGAGGCATTCCAGGTGACATGGTGTGGGTAACTGTGGCTTGGCATCCCATGGAGCCCGAAGACACTTGCTGTCAGTTACAGGCTGCACGGGGGCTTACTCTTGGGTGGTATTTGCCAAGTGTTCCTGGCACTTCTGTGAATTTTGTGATGCTGTATGACAGTACAGAGAGAAGGTGTTTAGTGCAGGCCTTGGGGTGCTGAGGACGACCCAGCAGGGGATACTCTGTGTGATGGCTTTTCTGAATTGCCTAATATCCGCAACAGGTGTGGTGGCTGGAGGTGGCCGCATTGACAAGCCCATCCTAAAGGCTGGGCGAGCCTACCACAAGTATAAAGCAAAGAGAAATTGCTGGCCACGAGTGCGGGGTGTGGCCATGAACGTAAGTAGCCCAGTAGTAGGCAGTGGGGAGTATTCAGGATACAGGGCCTGAGGCTGGGTGGGCAGGTCCTTTGGAATCTCCCCTCAGGTGGGGGATTTGGGTGATGATTCATAGGTATAGGCCTCTTGATCCAGCCCCCTCCCCAAGCCCTCCCTTAGATAGATTGGGACCCCCCCCACACACACACATTAACACTACCTCCCTTTGTCTGCAGCCTGTAGAGCATCCATTTGGAGGTGGCAACCACCAGCACATCGGCAAACCCTCCACCATCCGCAGAGATGCCCCTGCTGGCCGAAAAGTGGGTCTCATTGCCGCTCGCCGGACTGGGCGTCTACGGGGAACTAAGACTGTACAGGAGAAAGAGAACTAGGGCAGGGGGCTCAATAAAGTTTGTTTTCCTGCCACTAAGCTGTTCTGCCTGTAGTTTCAGAGGAAATGTTCTGCTGGGAGGACCACTGAGCAGAGGCAGCTCAAGTGGAGGTGGGGGTGCTTGATCCAATCACACCTTCCTTCCTGGAATCCCACCAGCATCCCACACATGGACCTGTGCGCTGAGCACTGGGAGAAAGTAGGTGTGGATGTCAACCCACAGCTAGAACTCTCCTGTGATGATGGAGTTTCTCAGAACAAATGAACTTCCTGATTGGCCACAGCTAATGACACCTTTTCCCACATTGTCTGATAGTTCTGTCAAAGGTGGCTGAATCAGGGCAGAGGCTGCTAAGCAGGCATCAAAGTGACCCATCAGCCATTAGAACTAGGACACTCCCAAGAATCTTGCTCACAGTGGTTCCCTTGTGAGCCAGTGAAAAGTGCAGCAGGGCACTCCATGATGACCACCTACCTGAGTTCTGGTTTCCTCAGCCGGTCTTTGGGCTGCAGGGACCGAATGGGCGATAAGGCCTTCCTGTGACTGCCAGGTGGCTCTTTTTTTTTTTTAATATATTTTATTGATTTCTTACAGAGAGGGAGAGGGATAGAGAGTTAGAAACATCGATCAGCTGCCTCCTGCACACTCCCTACTGGGGATGTGCCTGCAACCAAGGTACATGCCCTTGACCGGAATCGAACCTGGGACCCTCGAGTCCGCAGGCCACCGCTCTATCCATTGAGCCAAACTGGTTAGGGCCAGGTGGCTCCTTGCTCTCGGGGATCGGACCCATCTTTAGTGTTGACCTTGCCCCCAGTTGTCAGCCTTGCCTTGCCTTCCCTGGCCCAACCTGCCCTTGGCCTTGGGCAGTCAACCAGCAAGGCTAGCCTTCTCTTGTGCAGAGCAACACCTGAAGGGAGGAGCATGAGTCTTGGTTACCTAGACAGTTACGTGACCTGCCACAGCATTACTGCTCCTTCTGATAAAGTTACCAGGGGCCTTGGCCGAGAGACTGGCTATCAGGAAGGGATGATGCAGAAGCTGTCTGGTGCTGGGGGAAGTCCTTTGTCTACTTAGAGTGGGCACGGCCCATTTAGAGGGGTTGGCCTTGACCCATAAGCATCCTCTTGAACTTCTGGGTGATCTCATCGTCCCTGTGACCGGTATGGTTCTCTGCCTTCTGTAAAAGAAAGGTCTGGTCTTCGCTTGGTTGTAGCACCTTCAGCAGCTCACTAGAGTTTCACTGAAAGAATTGCTGTAAAATAGTCTTGGAAATTGGTCCAGAAAGCCCCACTCTTGCCTCGGTTCTGAACACTGAGGCTCCCAACTGCCACCCGGTGGCAGCATCCTGACTTGTTGCACTACAGTTCCGGTTCCTGGAGGACTCCAGCCACCGAGAAGTGGGAGCCGTTTCCCAGAGCGGCCGGGGGCGGGGCTTGCATCACTTCCGGCGGGCTTCAATGGGCGGGGCGGGCGGTGGGCGGTGCCTTCTCAGGCCTCTGATCCTCGGCTGTGGGGGGCGGGCCTCCCTGGCGCGAACCTCCCCTCGCTACCGTCTTGGGGTCGGCCGCCTCTCCCACGTTTGGCTCCCAAACCCTGACCAGCCTCTTCCGGCCCGGCGTCCCCTCTGCGTCCAGGGCCCGCGTCGTCCTTGCCGACGGTTACCCGCCCCCAGCGAAGCCCGCCTTCCCCTTGCGAAGCTTCACCCTCCGCCCGGGTCCTTCAGGTGCAAGGTCTCCGCCTTCCCTTTTTCCTTATGGCCTCCAGCTCCGGGCATTTAATGTCAGCACACCTCCTGTCCACGGCCACTCCCTCCGTGCACCTCCCCCGACCCCGTGCGCTCCCATTGCCGGGTCTCCCTACTGCCCCCCATGGGCCCACTGCCGCCCGCAGGCAGCCCCAAGCCCGACTGGGGCACGGCCTCCTTTCCCGGCCCGCCTTGCATCCGGCAGCCACAGTCCTGTTTCTCTTCTTTGTTTGCTTCATGGTTTTGAGCGTGTGTGTGTGTGTGTGTGTGTGTGCATGTGTGTATGTGTATTATGTGTGTGCATGTGTGCGTGCATGTGTGCATGTATGTGTGTGCATATGTGTGTGTATTATATGTGTGTGTATATGTGTGTGTGTGCATGTGTGTATGTGTATTATGTGTGTGCATATATGTGTGTGTGTGTGTGTGATTTTAGAGAGAGAAAGGGAGAGGGATGGAGAGAAACATCAGTGAGCTGCCTCCTGCGTGCCCCCTACTGGGGATCAAACCTGCGACTCCCGTTTCATGGTTGACACCCAACAACTGAGCCACACCCACTGAGTGGCTGCTTGTCTTTTAATTTTGTGGTATCTCGTATAGAAGTTTTTCTGATGGAGTGAAATTGAACATTTCTCTAATGGCTATAAGCATTTTTTGCAAATACGTAGGTTTTCGGCCTGAAATACATTTTTGTGTGCCATGGAAGGTAGGGAGCTGACTTGGTTTTTCTGTGGAAACTGATTGTGGCAGCACCATTTGTTGCATACTACCCGGCTGCTCATGTGGCAAATGTGTCGTTAACGTGCACTCTGCAATGTTCTGTCACCTTCCCCCCAGGCTCACACCCACTCTGTTCCTACAGCCTCAGTAAGTCGTCACACCTCTGATTACCTTACTGGTTTTTTGGCTTTGCTGTGGTTAATCTTGGATTATTACTCTTGTGATGCTTAGGGTCTTTTTTGTCTGATGTCCTGTTGCAGTTTTGATTGCACAGAAGTAATAGATTCGTTGGAGGAGAGTTGACATTTTTGTGGTATGGAGTCCTGTTTATGAACATTGTCTGTTTCTCCATAGGTCTTTTTAATGTCCTTCAATAACGTTTTAGAATTTTGTCCATAAAGTCCTTACATATATTTTGTTAGTCTTCTTCTTATGTGCCGTCTAGTCGTGTTTGTAGCTGTTGTGAGTGCAGGTTTCTGGTTTCTGATTTATGAGTATATCAGAGCGGTACTGACGTGCTCTATACTGACCTCCTATGTGGAGTCCTGTCCAATTTGTATTATTCCAGCAGTGGGTTGATCATCTTGGATTTTCTCTATGGATGCTCTTATCATTCTCTTAATAATGGGATTTTTCCTATTCTCTTCCAGTCCTTATGGCTCATATTTATTTTTGGTCTTGGGCCACACTGGGAACCACTGCTGGGTGTGTAGTATGTACTTAGTTCCCATTTCTGTTCTTTTTTTAATACATTTTATTGATTTCTTTCTACAGAGAGGAGGGGAGAGGGATAGAGAGTTAGAAACATCGATGAGAGAAACATCCATCAGCTGCCTCCTGCACACTCCCTGCTGGGGATGTGCCCGCAACCAAGGTACATGCCCTTGACCGGAATCGAACCTGGGACCCTTGAGTCCGCAGGCCGACGCTCTATCCACTGAGCCAAACTGGCCAGGGCCCATTTCTGTTCTTAAAAGCATTTCTTTTTCTTCCTCTGTGGCCCCCCAGATCCCCACATTGGCCTTGCCAGATGTTTGTGTGTTATTAGCAATTTCAAGGAACCAATGCTGAGATTATTTTCTTAGTGAGATTGTTTTCTTTTTTTTCATCATGTTTTCCTGAGTTGCTTTCTTATACTGTGCCTGATTTCTTGTTAAATGTTTAGATCATTTATTTGAGTTTTTCTTGTGTTCAACTTCGTGTGTCAAGGATGCACATTTTTCTTTAGGGAGGCTTTATTGACATTTCCACCTTATTTTCTTTTTTTATGTTTTTCTTGGAGGGGTACTTTTTAAATCATGTATTTCTAGTATAACAACAGTGCGGTCAGAGAGTATTTTGTCAAATGATGCAGCCTTTGGAATTTGTTGACACTTTGTTGTCTGGCATGTGTGTTTTTTTAAAATAATAACGTACATCTTGAAAAAATGTGTATTCTTCGTGCTTTAGGTAAAATTGTCTGTTGATCCACATGTTTCTGAGAGAAGTGTGATAAAATCACTCATTTTCAGGGGGGTTACCAGCTCCTCTTTGCTGCCTCAATTACCTTTGGATTTTTACAGTTTGAGAGTTTGTTGGTAGATACATGTTTACAATGACAGTTTTTGGTGGGTTTTTCCTTTTTTTAATATGCAGTGTTCATTTTTGTTCCTATTAGTGAATTTTGCTTTCAGTTCCATTTTGATTGATGTAATTATTGCTAAATTGCATGCAGCAATGCTTATTAAACTCAGTAACACAACACCAAAGAGGGGAGCCAGCACAGAGGAGTGCAGACCCCAGCTCCTGGGCTAGCTCAGCAGAGGCACAGCTGATGTGTACTGGAAGTCAGGGTGGTGCCGCTCCAGGAAAGAGCTGCTTTAGCCCTGGCTGGTGTGGCTTAGCTGGGTGGAGCATTGCACTGAAAGGTCACAGGTTCAGTTCCCAATCAGGGCACATACCCAGGTTGTGGGTTCAGTCTCTGGTTGGATTGCATGCATGAGGCAACCAATCAGTGTTTCTCCCTCTCCCTTCCTCCTCTTTAAAATCAATAAAAAGCATGTATTCCAGTGATGATTTTTTTAAAAAGAGCTGCTTTATTTTCATTAGTGTTTGTTTGGTGTGTGTTATATTCATCCTGTCTGCTGTTTCACGTCAGGTTACGTAGGTGCATTTCCTGTGTCTAATAGGAGGGTCTTGTGCTTCTCGTAGGTGAGTTTTTTTCTTTCTCCCCATCACTCATCCATGGGCCTTGTTTGTATTAGTTTCGTATTTTTACCTTCTATACGTTGTCTTCACTGTGCCTTCTATTGTTTGTTTGTTTTTTACTTCATTTTCCTCCTCAACCCTTCGCGTGTTATCTTTATTCTTTCATGTAAAGGTGTTTACGTGGCGGGGCGGGGGGCGGGAAGTTTTCTGGGAGGCCAGCTATGCCCCACGGGGATGAACCGGGCACTGAAGCCACCACCGGAGGGACCAGGCTGAGCCTCCATGTGTTCCTCTCTCTTCCCTCAGCACCTGAGTGACTGACTCCTGCCTACCACCCCTGGGAAGACCAGGGTACCACATCATGGCGGCTTTGCACCTGTCTACCGCTCCTCCGGTGAGCATCCATCCTCCCTTGGAAGTATGAGGTGTCCACCCAGGGCTTCCCTTTCTGCTGTGCCTCAGCAAACGCTGTCAGACATCTTTGGTCTAGGTGCTGAGCAAAGGAGGGCTTGGCCCTCTATCCTCCTGGGGAGGCAACTAGTTTTCTTTCATTAAAATACGTTGTTATTGATTTTTTTTTTTTTTTTTTTTTTTTTAAGAGCAGGAGAAAGAAAAACAGCGCTTGTCTGCCTCCTGCACGCCCTCTCCTGGGGTTCAAGCCTGCAACCCAGGCATGTGCCCTGACTACGAATTGAACCTTTGACCCTTTGGTGCATGGGCCAGTGCTCTACCAATTAACCCACACTGGCCAGGGCAGGCAGCTGGCTATCTTAGTGTGGATTTGGGGTATTTTTAGGTGTCCTTAGTCTTGCCTGGCCTTCATTTCTTTCTTTCAGATGCCCTCCCTGACTTTTGGGCTCCTCCTTTCTCTTGTTTTCCATGCTGCTATAACGCCTCCGTTTCCTTTCTCTGTAATGAGGACAGGCACCGTACTGTACCACTCTGGCAGGTTTTAGAGGCAGAAGGCAGGGAGGAAGGGCATGGGCGCTCATTAGATCTTAGTGAGATACTTGCACTGCCTGTGACTGCAGTCTGGGTGAGATTTTTAAGCCTCTAGGCTCCAGGCTCTTATCTCTAGAAGATGTTGTATCTTTGGAGATGATGGAATTGGTACTGCGCAGGTGGTCAGTAGTGTCTTCATACCTTCCTTTCAGAATGAGAACAGGTGACCCTGAGGTGTTCTGTTTGTTGTTTCAGCTTATGGGACCAGGACTGAGTGCAAGGAGTCGACCTCAGGGGAGATGCTTGATGGGGCAAAAGTGGACTGGACCTGAGCCAGGACAAGCCTGCAATCTTGTCGGGGAACCAGTAGAGAGCCATGACAAGCCCAAGGAGCAGAGAGGTCCTAGGCCAGTGAAACTAACCAACAGGGAGAGCAACCAGGAGTCTTGGGGAAGCCTCAGGTTGGAGTCAAGCCTTGTCCATGATCACAGACCTCACAAATGCAATATATGTGAGCAAAGTTTTGAACAGAGATCATATCTCAATAACCATAAGCATGTACACAGGTAAAAAAAAACACACACATAGTTCATGATTCTGAGGAAATCTTCAGTGCAAATTTAGTAGTTAAAGAAGATCAGAAAGCCGAAACCGGTTTGGCTCAGTGGATAGAGCGTCGGCCTGCGGACTCAAGGGTCCCGGGTTCGATTCCGGTCAAGGGCATGTACCTGGGTTGCGGGCACATCCCCAGTGGGAGATGTGCAGGAGGCAGCTGATCGATGTTTCTCTCTCATCAATGTTTCTAACTTTCTATCTCTCTCCCTTCCTCTCTGTGAAAAATCAATAAAATATATTTAAAAAAAAAAAAAGATCAGAAAATTCTTATTGGGAAAAAAATGCATTATTGTGGTTACTGTCAAAAAGCCTTCAGGTTGCCGAAACTGGTTTGGCTCAGTGGATAGAGCGTCGGCCTGCGGACTGAAAGGTCCCAGGTTTGATTCCGGTCAAGGGCATGTACCTGGGTTGTGGGCACATCCCCAGTAGGAGATGTGCAGGAGGCAGCTGATCGATGTTTCTCCCTCATGGATGTTTCTCTCTCCCTTCCTTTCTGTAAAAAAATCAACAAAATATATTTTAAAAAGAAAAAGCCTTCAGGTACAGTGCTACCTTCATCAAGGACTAGTGGCTTCACAGTGAAGAGAAGCCCTACAAGTGTGACGAGTGTGGCAAAGTCTTCAGCCAGAGCACATACCTCATCCAACATCAGAGGATCCACACCCGGGAGAAGCCCTACCAGTGCAGCGAGTGTGGGAAGGCATTCCACAACACCTCCAGACTCATCTATCACCAGAGGTTGCACCATGGAGAGAAGCCCTACAAGTGCAGCGACTACAAGAAGGCTTTCAGCCAGGACACCTACCTCACCCAGCACTGGCGGGTTTCCGGCACAGCTCCAACGTGTTCCAGCATCAGAGGACCCACCTCCGGGAAGACTTCTCCATGTGACGCTGGAGGCCCATGATTTATACTGTGCACTTCCCGCCACCTGCCCACCTCGTATTCATTGGCCACACAGTGATGCCACAGGTGAAAGGCACTTCTGTTTAATCTTTAAAATTCTTTGTTTTTTAACCTATTTTTATTGACTTCACAGGGAAAGGAAGAGGGAGAGAGAGATAGAAACATCGATGAGAGAGAATCATTGATTGGCTGCCTTCTGCATGCCCCCCCACTGGGGATCGAGCCCGAAACCCAGGCAAGTGCCCTTGACTGGAATCGAACTTGGGACCTTTCAGTCCGCAGGCCCATGCTCTATCCACTGAGCCAAACCAGCTAGGGCTAATTTTTAAAATTCTTAAAACCAAAAGCAGTACATAATCATTTTAGAGAAACTAAGAAAGGCAAGCAAAAGGGTGAGGCTGCTGTAAACTCTCCCTTTTAGACAAAGAGAATGAATCACTGTGGATTTAGTGTGTTTCCTCTCAGACACACTGAAGAACACTCTGAGAGGTGTCTAAGTTTTTTATTTTATTAATTTTTAAATATATTTTTATTGATTTCAGAGAGGAAGGGAGAGAGAGACAGAAACATTAAAGATGAGAGAGAATCATGGATCAGCTGCATCCTACACGGCCCACACTGGGGATCGAGCCTGCAACCCGAGCCTGTGCCCTGACCTGGAATTGAACTGTGAACTCCTGCTTCATAGGTTGACCCTCAACCACTGAGCAACCCTGGCTGGGCAAGAGGTGTCTAATTATTTTAAAGAAAATACTGTTGTGCTTGTCATTGCAGCAAAACACCTTTGCTACCATCACCGTTGCTGTTTCCTCAAAACCAGAAAATTCACACTGGAAAGAATTCTACATATGTATATATTGTAAATGTTAAAAATTTAACATCATTCATACTTTTTTTTGTGTACCTAATAGAGTGGATGATTGCTTTTTTATTGTGCTAAAGTACATATAACAAAATTTACCATTGTAACCATGTAAGGTGTACAATTCGGTGGTATTAAACACATTCACAATGTTGTGTAACCATCACTACTATCTACAGAACTATTTTATTATACCAAACAGAAACTCTGTACTCATTAAACAGTAACTCTCTATCCTCCCCTTGCCCATGCAGCTGGCAACCCTCTATTCTGTTTTCTGTCTCTATGAATGTACCTATTCTAGGTACACATGTAAGTGGTATCATGTAATATTTGCCCTTTATGTCTGTCTTATTTCACTTAGCATTATAAATGTCTTCAAGGTTCATCCATGTTGTAGTCTGTATCGGAAAGTTATTCTTTTTTATGGCTGAATAGTATGTCATCCTTTGTAGATACCACATTTTGTTTATACATTTATATTGATAGACACGTGTGTTTCTACCTTTGTGCTAGTGTGCATAATGCTGTGAACATTGGTATACAAGTATGTGTTTGAATTCTTACTTGCAGTACATCTGGATATAATCCTAGGATTGAAAGGAGTGAAATTGATGGGATTTATGGTGATTCTATGTTTAACTTTTTGAGTAATAGCCAAACTGTTTCCACAGTGGCTGTACCAATTTTGCATCTCTGCAAGCAATGAAGGTTCCAATTTCTCTACATCTTTGCCAACACTTGATATTTTTTCTTTCTTTATTTCTTTTTTTTTTTTTTTTTGGTAATAGCTGTCCTAAAGGGTTCGAACTGGTACCTCACTGTGGTTTTGGTTTGCATTTTTGTAATGACTACTGATGTTGAGCATGTTTTCAGGTGCTGATTGGCCATTCATATGTCTATTCAGTTCCTTTGCCCATTTTTGAATTGGGTTATTTTGGTTTTTGTTGTTGTTGAGGTGTAGTTCTTCATATATTTTGCGTAGTAAGTCCTTATCAGATATGTGATTTGCAAATGTTTTTACTCATTCTGTGATTTGTCTGTCTACTCTTTTTCCTGTGTCTACTCTCTCTTTTTTTTTTTTTTTTAAATATATTTTATTGATTTTTTACAGAGAGGAAGGGAGAGAGATAGAAAGTTAGAAACATCGATGAGAGAGAAACATCGATCAGCTGCCTCCTGCACATCCCCACTGGGGAAGTGCCCGCAACCCAGGTACATGCCCTTGACCGGAATCGAACCCGGGACCTTTCAGTCCGCAGGCCGACGCTCTATCCACTGAGCCAAACCGGTTCCGGCAACTCTCTCTTTTTTTAATAATATGCACAGTTTTGTGTTGTTGTTGTTGTTTTTTAACGGAGGCAAAGTTTATTGAGAGAAGCCACTCTAGGAAAAGGTGCAGCTGGGGTTCCAGGAGCAGGCCAGTGTCCAGAGCTTCCTTGCCGTGTTAAAGTCTACTGGTCCACATGTAGAGTCCCACATGGCCATAAGCCACATGGGTACAGGGGATGTGTTCCCCACCACAGGAACGTCAGGAACCCATTGTGCACTGGGGGTAGAGAGGGGGGGGGGGCTCAGTTCTTTTCTAAAAATGTCTTTATTGATCATTAGGGAGAGAGGGAGACAGAAACATCAATGATGAGAATCATCGATTGGTGCCTCCTGCACTCCCCCTACTGGGGATGGAGCCTGCAACCATGCATGTGTCCTAACCAGGAATCAACCAGTGACCTCTTGGTTCATAGGTCAACACTCAAACACTAAGCCACACCAGCTGGGCTCTGTATACTCTCTTGATAATGTCCTTTGATGCACAAAAGTTTTTAATTTAATGAAGTTCCATTTATTTTTTCTTTTTTTGCTTGTGCTTTGGGTATCATATCTAAGAAATCATTGCTAAATCCAAGGCTCTGAAGGTTTCCCCCGTGTTTTCTTCTAAGTTTTATAGTTTTGGTTTTTTTTCTTAATCCTCACCCAAGGATATTGTTTTTTCCATTGATTTTCAGAAAGAGGGAGAGAGAGAAAGAGAGGAGAGAGAGAAACATCGACATGAGAAAGACACATCAATGGTTGCCTCCTGCACGCACTCCACACCGGGGTTAGGGATCGAACTTGCAACCCAGTTACATGCCCTTGACTGGGATCTTTATGTTGGTTTCAGTGCCCAACACTGCTTTGGCCCAGATGGTCTTCCTTCAGGTTGTTTGTTAAGAACTCCTGCTCTGGGCCTCATACCATCAGCCTGGATGTCCCCTGAGCAAGTGGCACCCCAAGTGACTGTGGTCTCCTTGAAGAGAGCATGAAAGCCCTCTGTGGGAGGGCTGGAGAGGCGGGGAGGCAGCTCCATCTGAAGAAGCATATTTAATGATAATAGTGTCCCTGGAAGAAGAAAATGCTGGCTGTTTTCCTTTTTTTTCTTTTTTTTTTTTCCTTTTTATTGCTTAAAGTATTACAAAGGGGTTTTTTTTTTTTTTTTCTTTTTCCTTTTTATTGGTTGTTTTCATTGTGCAAAACTAGGGAACATGGTTTGACAAGTTTCTGGTCTGCTTGATTTTGGCTCAAAAAGGCTTGTAACATGCGTTGGTGACACTTTCACAAGGGCCAAGATCAAGCCCATCTAGGGAGGTAGCAGCATGGACGAAGGGCCCCATGGATTCCAGATGTTTCCACTGGGCCATCTCGGGCCGTTACTCCTGGGCATCTGGTGGGCTGACTCCTTGCAGTTGCCTCTCAGGTCACAAGAGGGCCTTTGGGAGCAGCGGCGTCTGACAGTGGCTGCCTATGGGTTGGTGATTGTGGAGCAGCTGGCAGTGAGACAGCTGAAGGCCTTGGCCCATCTACAGTCAGCATCCCCAGGTGAGAGGTGACAACACCCATCCTGATGGGCACAATGAGGCCAGGTGGGGTCATGCTCAGTGTGCATGCTTGGTGCCCGTGACCTAGGATTGTGGCTGACCCTGTTCACATCCCTGGACCCAGGCAGGACATCAGGTCTGAGCCAGAGGGTCGCTGGGAGCTGTCCTTGGGGCTGGGTCAGTCCAAGTGTACCCTCTAGGCCAGTGATGGCGAACCTTTTGAGCTCGGCGTGCCAGCATTTTGAAAAACCCTAACTTAACTCTGGTGCCGTGTCACATATAGAAATTTTTTTATCTTTGCAACCATAGTAAAACAAAGACTTATATTTTTGATATTTATTTTATATATTTAAATGCCATTCAACAACGAAAAATCAACCAAAAAAATGAGTTCGCGTGTCACCTCTGACACACGTCATAGGTTTGCCATCACTGCTCTAGGCTCTCCTTGAGTCCCCCTTAGAGGTGGCTGTGTATCCTGTGCCCCACCCCAGCCTGTTCCAGTTTTCTGTATCCTTCCTATAGCTGAGGACTGAGCCTCTCCTAGACCCACTGGGGTTGTGGGATGTTTGGATGCCCAACTCATAGGGGTGAACGGCTTCCTAGTGGCTGTACCTGTGCAGAGTCCTATGAGCACACAACACAGTCACACAGAAACTGAGTCCTAGGCAGGTCTTCCTGCTGTGATTTCATTTCATTTATGCAATGAGCCTATGACATGGACGAGAACCTAGAGGGAAGTGACTGAAGTCAGAGCAGTTTGAGTCAGGCCTGGGCTCCCACCCACTGTTAACCCCCATGCAGAAAGGGCTAACCTGACCCCCAGGAGTGGGCTGGCTTTTTCCTGGTGGTGTTTACTTGTACCCTAGGGCCACGGCCGATAGTTTGCTAACAGTGTGATTTATGGTTGGACTACTGGCAGGGCTGCAGTCTGAGGTCAGTCATGCAGGCAGTCAGGTATATTGATGTAACCAAGCCAATAAAAACTGGATGCCAAGTATCAAGTGAGCTTCCTTGGGTGGCAATACCCCTTGAACATTGTTACATATTGGTACCTGGAAGGAAAAGCTGACTGTGACTTCCCAGGGAGAAGACAACAAAATCCCTGTATTTGGTATTTTTCCTGGATTCTGCCTCATGCGATCCCTTGGCTAATTGATTTTAATATCTGTTCCCTGTAATACACTGTAATCAGCTTTCAGGGTGAGTTCTGAGTCAATGTAGCAAAAATTGAGGGTGATGTTGGTGACCTCTCAACTTGTGATTGGTATTAGAAGTGAGGGCAAGCCTTGGGGACCCCTGAATTCCACACCATGTCAACTTAATTTCTCAGGTTGAAAACGTTTATGCATGACACCAAGCATTCCCCATACTCACCCAGGTGGGCCATGGCAGAGACCCCAGTGCTCCCAGTACCATCCCTGTGACCTTCCTCTGCCCTTGGCCAAGTCCACACACGGGAAAGATCATCCTGGGCCTCTGGCATCAGGCCCTCTGCATGGAGTGGCCTAGCTTCCCCAGCCTGTCCTCCAGGAGTGCCCCTGCCTCTCTTAGGCTGCAGTCATCTGCTCCAGAGGTGGATCACGCGTTGTGTCCCCACACCTGGTGCGTCAGATTTTATTAGTAACAGTAGCAGCCAGCACCAAAGCACTCCATCCCTATGCCTTCACAGCTCTGTGTTACAGAATACGTACCTAATTGTTTGGAATTGGCACATGAGCCTCTTTCAGGTTTTCCTGGCAGTATTTTTGCTTATTTGTAGAAGCTCCTTATGCCAAAGTTACTGCTTTTCCTTCACCCACAAATATATTCTGCTCATTGCTTTTTTATTAGAAGGTATGTCAGGTTATACAGTTACACAGAAACAAATTTCGGGTGGACTAAAATGTTCTCCAATAATAGAAAATTTGAAAAGAACTGTCAAATTCTTGCTAGCTGTAGGGAGAAATACTACAAATTTAAATACATAAAATGTGCAGACTTTGAAATAAAAGTCTTGAATGCTGCCGACAAGTCAGAGCTGGGAAGTAATGGCTGAGAAGGCATTTATCAGGGCGAGGGGAACCCCAGAGATCATTTTGGCCTCTGATGCCAGGGCCACTACGTGATCCAGCAGCTGGTGTGCTGCCTCCCACTCCTGGGGCAGAAATGCACAGCCCAGGAGCCTCCCTAGGGAGAGGGCGCTGTGCTCACCTCCCAGCGCCATGGACAAGGAGCCTGAGGCTCACCAAGAGGTCCATGGCATCTGATTAAAAGGCTAACCGGCCGAAACCGGTTTGGCTTGGTGGATAGAGCGTCGGCCTGCGGACTGAAAGGTCCCAGGTTCGATTCCGGTCAAGGGCATGTACCTGGGTTGCAGGCACATCCCCAGTGGGAGATGTGCAGGAGGCAGCTGATATATGTTTCTCTTTCATCGATGTTTCTAACTCTCTATCCCTCTCCCTTCCTCTCTGTAAAAAATCAATAAAATATATTTAAAAAAAAAAAAGGCCAACCGGTGTGGCTCAGTGGATAGAGCGTCGGCCTGCGGACTCAAGGGTCCCGGGTTCGATTCCGGTCAAGGGCGTGTACCTTCAGGAGGCAGCTGAGCGATGTTTCTCTCTCATCGATGTTTCTAACTCTCTCTCCCTCTCCCTTCCTCTCTAAAAAAATCAGTAAGATATATTTAAATATATATTAAAAAAAGGAAAAGGCTGATGGTATTCTCCACACTGAACAGCACAAGCAACTGAACTTATTCTCATGCTGCCGTCAACACGTCTCGCTCTTACTCTAACTCTCCCACAGAATTAGGACTGTGTCTGCGTAGGGGTCCACGAGGGGGGGCTAGAGCTGCGCTTTGAAGGGTTGATGGTAACATGTGATCAGCTCCTCAGGAGGGTCTGCACAGGGGAACAGGCATTGCTATGGACTGAAGGACCGACGGCAGAGTGCTTCATCTCTCCTGAGAAATGGATACAAATTTAGAGAAAAAACTTTGAAAAATTATTAATAAACCAGATTCATTACTGTATCTGACAATGGATAAGACTCTCGTGGAACTAGGAATCCTATATAATAAAGAGCTAATATGCAAATGGTCATCATGCCCTCACACCATAACAGCTCAGACACTCAACACTGGGGAGAGAGGAATGGGGACCAGCCAGGCTGTGGCCTGGGAGAGGGACAATCCGCCTGCCCCGCAGTCCCAGGCACCGGCGCCTGCAGCGCAGGTGAAGCGGCCTGCCCATGGTCCTCTGCGGCTGCGGCCAGCCTGGGTCCTGGGTGCCTGCAGCTGGCCAGAGGGAGGAAAGCCTGGGTCCTGGGTGCCTGCAAGTGGCCAGAGAAGGGAATCCTGGATCCCGGGTGCGGGGCAAGGCAGAGGTGGTTATGGGCAATCAGGCCAGCACGGGAGCAGTTAGGGGCGATCCAGCAGGCAGGCAGAGGGGTTAGGAGCCAGAAGTCCTAGGCGAGAGGCAGTTGGACATCCCCTGAGGGGTCCTGGATTGGAGAGGGTGCAGGCCGGGCTGAGGGACACCGCCCCCCCCACCCCCCTCCCATGCATGAATTTCATGCACCTGGCCTCTAGTAAAAAAAATGAAAAACAAAATCCCTTAAACTTAGGAACAGAAATATTTGATAGGAAAAAGAGCTATTTGAATTTGAGACGTTTGTTATAAGCACCAAATAAGTCTTTAAGTCACATCTTTTGGAAACAGCAGTGTGTGGCAGCACCCACTAGGTGCAGCAATTATCATGTCTAGAGCTGAGCAGAGCTTTCCACCTCCACCCAAATGGGGCCCAGACACCCAAGACATCCCATGATTTCTGGGACACAGGGTCTGTTGGTCATAAGGATGGGTTTTGAGGAAAAGATCCACTTTTGAGATGAAATTTTTAATAAAAAGTTAGGATATCCCTTCTGATCTTGAATGAATTTAAAGGCCCAAGTAAAGGTTTTCCTAAATTTATATAATTTCTCACTAATGTTTACTACTTTTTTCTCTATACAAAACAGAAGACTCCACACACACAGGATTTCCAGCCTTTTTACATGATGCTAGTTGGTGACACTTTCTAATATCATTTCATCCACAGATACTTAAGTGGTTTAACAGAGTACTGAAAATAGTCCAACATTCTAAATGCAATAATTACAATCATTGTGTTTAGGAAAGGCATGAAATGTTCTAAGAAGAAACCTTTATTTGGGATGTAAGTTAGTTTTATTGTGACAGTAATCTTTATGCCTTAATTTCCTTTACTTTCTCAATTTATTTGATTATTTTTTAACATATTTTTATTGATTTCAGAGAGGAAGGGAGAGGGAAATGTCATGATGAGAGAAATCATTGATAGGCTGCCTCCAGAAAGCCCCCTCGCGCCCCCCCTCCCCCCCGCTCCCCGGGATCAAGCCCGCAACCCAGACATGTGCCCTTGACCGGAATCAAACCTGGGATCCTTCAGTCCGCAGGCTGATGCTCTATCCACTGAGCCAAACCAGCTAGGGCTTAGTTTCTCAATTTAAACAAACTGTGTGATGTTAGAGAATTATGACTGTCTTTACCGAAATCCACTATAACTGTGATTACTCTCCAATATGACTTCAAGACGTTGAAAAAAATAAAATCGGCACCTCTGAAGTTATCCCCAAGGAGTGATGAGCACAGTGCTTCTCCCTGGAGTTACTCTGTGACCCTCAATACCAAAGGGCTTCCTATGCAGCTGACAGAGCTTCTCCTAAGCTGGGGGCTTCCCGAGTGTGTGCCCAAGTGTGAGAGAGACTCGTGGTTGCCGAGGTCACAGCTTCTGGTGCACCTTCTGGTGCTGGATCAGGTGCCCGTGCTGGTTGAAGGCACGACCACACTCAGCGCACTCATAGGGCCGCTCCCCCGTGTGGATCCTCTGGTGCTGGATGAGCACTGAGTACTGGCTGAAGGCCTTCCCACAGCGGCTGCACTCGTAGGGCCTCTCGCCCGTGTGCGTCCTCAGGTGCACGATCAGTGTGGCTTTCAGGCTGAACGCCTTGTCGCACTGTGTGCAGCAGAAGGGCCGCTCACCTGTGTGGATCCGCTCGTGCTGGACCAGAGACCTCCGGGCGCTGAAGGCGTGCCCGCACTCGCTACAAACGTAGGGCTTCTCCCCGGTGTGCACCCGCTGGTGCTGGATCAGGTGGGAGTGCTGCACGAAGGCCTTGCCGCAGGCGTAGCAGCCATAGGGCTTCTCCTCTGTGTGGATCCGTTCGTGGTTCATCAGAGTGGAGCGGTGGCTGAAGGCCTTGCCGCACTCCGCGCACTCGTAGGGCTTCTCGCCTGTGTGCACATTGTGGTGCTGGATGAGGACGGAGCGGTCACTGAAGGTGCGCCCACACTCACTGCAGGAGTAAGGCTTCTCCCCGGTGTGCACCCGCTGGTGCTGCAGCAGCGTCCTCTTAACACTGAAGGCCCGGCCGCACTCCGCACACTCGTGGGGCTTCTCCCCGGTGTGCACCCGCTGGTGGCTGCGCAGCACAGTGCTGTGGTTGAAGGCCTTCCCGCACAGTGGGCACACGTAGGGCCGCTCCCCCGTGTGGATCCGCTGGTGCTGAATGAGGTGTGAGAGCTGAGTGAACGCCTTGCGGCACTCGAGACACTCGTGGGGCTTCTCTCCTGTGTGGATCTTGTGATGCTGTGCGAGGTCTGAGCTCACCCGGAACGCCTTTCCGCACTCATTACACTCGTAGGGCTTTTCGCCCGTGTGGATCCTCCTGTGTTTGCTGAGGACCGAACTCTGGCTGAAGGCCTTCCCACATACCCCACACACGTAGGGCTTCTCCCCGGTGTGGGTCCTCTGATGCTGGAGGAGGTGGGAGCTCCGGCCGAAGCATTTCCCACACTCGATGCACTTGTAAGGTCTCTCCCTGCCAGAAGCGGCCGGCTGCTGATCGAGTGGCTCGCTTGGGCTGGAGACCTGAACTTCAGGGGGGCCCACAGGACTTGGGCTCAGACAGAAGCTCTGTTCAGGTTTGCAACTTCCTTGATCAATCCACCCGGGGGGTGTTTTCTCCAGAATCACGGATAATTCCTCTGAAATGAATGGCTTCAGACTAATTTGGTTTCTTCCCTTGTTCTCACATTCTGAAACCACACATCCAAAGGGAAAATGTTAACTCAAATGTTAACCCACTCAAATTTCAGCTCAGGTGTACCCCTGAAGGTGGCTGCCGAGGGATGTCCACAGAGATGTGGGACACTCGGCTGCGTGGGCTGAGAGGACGGAACAGCACAATGGTGTCAAACAAGAGAGGTGTCCAGGCTGAAAGGTGCAACCTCTAGCCTGAGGTCACTCCTGTGTGAAGTGCACATGTGGCCCATGGCAGCAGGTGACAGGCCAGCACGGCCTGAGCCCTGCCCTCCCTGAGTCCTCTGTGCACTGGGCTCCCAGAGGCCATTTGGAGCAGAAATAAATGCAGGACCATCTATGACTTCAGGGAGCCCCACCAGACAGACGGCAATATACATGTACCGCACAGACTAATCCTGCAGACACCAGACTACAGACTTGTGCTCGGGGGGCTGTGAGCTCTTCATGTAGTGTGCTGGGGAGCAAGACAGCCGACAAGTCTAGGCCAGAGATGGAGCCTCTGGGGCAGTCGTGAGGACAGCAGGTAAGTTTTATCTCAATAAAACTGAGGAAAATATCACACCTTTGTTGCTGATGAATAAAGTAAAACTGAGTTTGTCTCTAATTGATTGTGAATTCTAATCAACCTGTTTCCAAGTAGACAATCATAAATACCTTTCTTTTTCTTTCCATTTTTTTTTAGCTTCAGTCTTGTGTGTGTGTACATGTCTTACTTAGTGTGTGGGACCCCAGCACAACATTACACAGACATGGGGATGGTGGGCTCCCTGTTCATCATCTCAGTGTGCTTCAGCCTCACCACAGGGTCAGGTTAACCTCCCTTCCACACTAGGGTGCTGCGCTCTTTTCTAAATGAACCAGGTAACCTTCATGTTCTGCATCTCCCGTAAGTACGTGCTGGAAAGCAGAATCACAAGTGTGCACTCATCTCCAGGGGCCTCTCCTGGCTCAGTCCCGCCAACCCAGACTCCTTTCCTGGGAGAGGCCCCAGGTGGAAGCCATCTGCTTACGCCCAGCCACTGGGACATGCTCAGCCCTCAGGGCAGGTGCGGCAGCTCCTCTCACTCACCCGAACTGTCGTTGCCTAGGCCCCAGCTCTCCTTGGCCCCATGCCCGTCCAGGACCCAGGGCTCCTCTCCTCGCTCCAGCTGAGAGATCACATTGGGCTTGGTTCCTGGAAGTCCTGCTCACGGGAAGGAAGGTCTTTTGTCTAGAGCAGCCGTGGGCAAACTACGGCCCGCCGATCCGCCCGTTTGAAATGAATAAAACTATTGAAAAAAAAGACCGTACCCTTTTAGGTAATGATGTTTACTTTGAATTTATATTAGTTCACACAAACACTTCATCCACGCTTTTGTTCCGGCCCTCTGGTCCAGTTTAAGAACCCATTGTGGCCCTCCAGTCAAAAAGTTTGCCCACCCCTGGGCTAGAGCGTCCCCACCCCACCTGAGCAGCCTGCAGGTGGGAGTCAGCACCAGCCTCCCTGTGGAGCTGAGCACCCTGAGGGAAGTCCAAGGCCCCTGTGGTATGGCCCAGCCCCGGGAAGCTCACAGACATAGACTGGCCTGCTGAGGGCCTTACCCAGCGAAACCACGTTCCCATAGGTCTCCATCATCACGTGTCGGTAAAGGCCCCTCTGAGCAGGGCCCAGCTGGTCCCACTCCTCTTGGGAGAGGAGCACGGCCACATCTTCAAAGGTTACCTTCACCTGAAATGACAGGGGCTGCTGTAGGTCAGGCTAAGTCTCCATGTCTAAGAAAGAGTGGGTGCAAGTAACACGGGGTGAGGTATACCCCCAAATTGGGGGAAAGCCCTATGACACATGGGGGTGCCCTGGGAGCTAAAGGGGTGACAGGAAGGGGCCATGGACTTCAGGGGGTGTGCTGATGCTGAGGCTGCAGCAGGAGCCCTGAGTGTGGAAGAAAATGCAGCTACACAGGCCTCAGGGGCAGCTCACCTGGGGTCCTGCTGCTGGTGGCAGGAGACCGGCTGCCGCCATTGCCCGTCCCCTGGAGTCTCTGAGGAAGACGGAACTCAAAGAAGCCTGTGGGGCTGAGAAAGAGGAGGGAGCACATGAGCCGCCTGGCCTTGCCCCACAGACCCTGACTTCCGGGAGCCCTGCCCGCTGTGAGGTCTGACCTGGCTCTTCAGGAGCCACAGAAACACACCATTCCTGGGAGGGGACCCAGGAAGGTAAAGACCCTGGGAAGCTGGGGACACTTGTGCACCTGAGGACTCTGGGCCATCTGCCCCTGCACCAGGTCCCGCCCACAGTCTGCCGACAAGGACAAGGGCCTCTGCAAGCGCATGTGCACAGGTGCCAAGCGGTCTTCTGGTCTGGTGTGGGTGCTAGGCCAGGCTGCCCCCAGAGACAACCCCCGAAAGAGGAGAGGCTGGGAAGGGATGGCTCTGCTCAAGGCCCACACTCCTGCAGGGACCCCACCCCAGGCCCTGCATGCTTGGCTTGACCATGACCCTCCGTGGCTACACTGACACCTCAGCTACGCCTGGTTGTGCCTGGCAGCCCTGGTGCCTCGTGGGAGGTCGGGTTCTGATAAAGTGAGTCTGGAGTGACTCAGGAATTTGGTCTAAGCGTCTGACAGGGAGGCCTAGGCAGGTCCTGGACAACTGAAGCTGAGATATCTGTTACACTAAAGTGCTGGAAAAAAGGGGGGGCCAGGAGCTGTCCTGACAGGAATGGGGTTCCCATTTCCTGGAGTGCTGACAGGGGTCTGCAACAGGACTCAGAAGCCCAGCAGGCAGACTACACCAGGAACAACAGAGGCACCCATCTGGCGAATGCACTGTAGGCCACCTGGAGGGAGTGCCATAACCCTGCTTTCTCTTTAAAACACGAGATATGGGTGCCTGTTTATCCAGACACCTTTCCAGAAGATACACACTGAACTCACTGCAGCTGCCCCTCTATTCACCCAAAATGCCCATTTTCCCCAAACCTGTGTGTATAAGTGCAATGCACCGCTAATAGAATTCCAATGAGTCTTTTGAAAGATGAATAAAAACACGGACCAGATCTAAAAAAGGGGACTGCAGAGAAGCAAAGAGCTTGGAACCTTTTATTATTATTATTTTGTTTTGTAAGCTAAGCTTTAGGAGCTTAACACCCTTGTTGGAATGGATGATGGTCTTTTTTTTTTTTTTTAAGAGTTTAAAGTGAAAGTGAGTTTCTTAGTGAAGCATGGAGACAGAGAGCAGGCTACTCCACAGGCAGAGCAGCCATTTCTGATGGTCTTGATGCAAGCATGCCTGTTCTTCCAAAGTCACTCCTCACGGTGACAAGCTGGGACGACGCCCTCCCAGTCCCTGGTCTGGGCGGCTCTCAGAACTCCCTCCCTCCCCCTCTCCTCCCACCCCCAGGTTTTCATGCTGGAATGCCCTGTCCCCTCACGTCCACGGACACTGCCTTCCAGGGTGGAAGCACCTTCAGAAGAGGCAGCTCTGAGCCGGCCGAGTGACCACAACTATACATGTAAGCTGCTAGACTCCTTACGCTAACAACCTGTAATAGAAAACATGGGAAAGGATTCTAATCACAAATGGCCAAGAAACATGGTTAGCATAAACTTAGAGAAATGCTGCTGATCCTGGCCATTGCACCCGCAAAGCCTGGGCGAGAGCCAGATGGGCCTGGAGGAGAAGGAGGCTCAGAACCGCAGTGCAGGGCCCCATCTAGGACTCAAGTCACTGTGGGGAAGACGATTCAGTACATGGTGCCAGGACAAAGGGCTCAGTGCTCTGAGAAAAATGAAACCACCTTTACACAAAGCGCAACAAATCTCTCAGAAAGTAGAGCCAAGGCAAAGAATAAAAAAAATAGGACAAAAAAGTCAGATCATCTCCTACTTTATAGTCTAATTAATCCACTAGGCTAATTAATGAATAGGAGTTAAAATTTTAAATTACATCATAAAGTAACTTGAATAAAAACGCAGGTAAGTTTTCATTCATTTCAGTAGGAAGGGCCTTTCTAAATACCCGAAACAGAATGCCTGGGGGGCAGATCTGCTCACAAAATAAAAATTTTATGTACATCAAACGGGCCGCAAAATCCATAAATGGGCCCAAAGACATGTAAGAATTTAATACACAATAGCAGTGGTTTTCCAATTCAATGAAAATATATTTTATTCATTAAGTAGACTTAGAAATAGCATGATTTAGAGGGGTGGGGGTGGGGTGGAGAATGAAGCTGGGTTCCCAGGTCACCCCACCAAAACAAATTCCAGATGGATCCAACATTTTACAAGGATCAGAGAAACACAAGGATGTATTGTAAAAGTAATTTTGGAGTGGGGAGAGCCCTTAAAACAACACAAAGCCTTAAAGGTAAATATTTGACCATTAAAAACTTGTTTTCCATCTCAAAGAACCCCAAACCAAACAGAACGACCATTTGAGAAGAACGTTTTCAGCGTAAATGGAAAATACGAGCTGGCGTGTCCCAAAGGAAACACAGAGGCCAGAACACAGGGCAGTGACCACCTCCTCTGTCTCCGGAACGGAAATGAAGACACTGACCTGGCGAGAAGGCGCACGTCGGGGAGGAGGCCCGGGCCTCGATCTCGTCCCCTCCCCGTCGCCCCGCCGGGGCCCGGGGCTCACAGCCGATCGGGCCGAGAGGGCGGCCGGCAGCAGAGAAAACCCAAGCGCCGCGCGTCGGAGCCTCCTTTTAGATGAAAAACAAAAAAGCGCAGGTCGATCCCGAAAGGACACAAAGCAAATCAGCCGGGGCCTCCTCCGCGCGCATGGCAGCTACTCGCGGAAGGACTCCCACTTTTTATATTTACGACGTTTTTATTTTTCGAAAATTATTGCCTATTGTTGTCTACTACAATATTAAGCAAGTGATGAAAAAGGGGAGTATCTGCAAACTATGTTAGAAAACGCTGGTCTCATTGATTGAAAACAGGCTCTTACAAAGTAACAGGAAAAAGACGGCGTCCGTAGCAAAACGCAGGGAGGGTGTGCGATGCGGCGAGAAGCACCTTCGTCCACGGGCCCCTCAGGCGGTTTCCGTGGAGCCCGGCGCCCCCGAGGCCTACCAACCTCCCCGCCGGACCCCGGCAAGGCCCGCCGCCCGCGGGGCAGGGCCCGGGGAAGGGCCTCAGCGCGCAGTGGAGGGGAGTGGGGGCCGGGGCGGGGCCAAGGTGGGGGTGGGGCTCGCTGGGGTCCGGGGAAGGGAGGGAACTGGCGCGAAGGGAGGGGGCAGTGCGTGTTCGTGGGGAAGCACCGGATCCGTGCGGGGACGCGCCGGCTCCCGCATCGGTGAGGGGAGAGGTCCCGGCTCGCCCGCGCCAATCGGCCCCCACTCACCGTCCACACCGCAGTCTCACACCCCGAGGGGCGGCCGTCCGCAGCGCTCTGGGACAAAGGGGCCGCCCCTCCTCGCCTGTGCACCCACCAATCCCTGGGGCCCCGCCTCCTTAGTCCCCGCCCACTCGTCTGGACCACCAATCCTAGAGCGCGACATCTTCCAGCCAGACGTCGGCCCCGCCTCCCCCTCGCTGCGCCTTTCTCCTAAGTGACAGCGAGGCGCGCGCTCCGGAGCCAACTAGATTGGAGGTCTCTGCGCTGCCTAGAGAGGCCACCCCGCGCCGGGCCTCGTACTGGCCGTACTTCCGGCAGCCTCCTAGGAGCTTCCGGTGCCCCCACCCCCACCCCGCCCAGCGCCATCCCTGGGGACTAAGGCACGTCGCCCGCGCCCGGCTTTTGGCCTCTGCGCTGGGCTGGCGGGTCCCTCCTCCGCTGGTGCGGGTTGCCACTCCCTCCGTGACGTAGCTTCTGCCAACTGCTCCGTACCCAGCGCGGGCCTGGCGGTGGTCATGTGTGACAGTGACGGCCTCACCGGTGTTTACCGATGGGGTGTGTGTGCGATGAGCTCCCCGGAGGCGGTGGGCAGCACCGCGGCGCTGGCGCGCACTCCGAAGAGGCGGCCCGAGGGGGACGGTCCTGGCTGCCTGGGAGGAGCCGTGGGCCTGTGACCCACAGTCTGGCACATGTGCTGTGGGGCTCAGAGGGCTCAGGAGTAGCTCAGCGGGACAGGTCGGTGCTGGAGGGGTTCGGTCCAGCCGAGGCCGAGGCAGGAGGTCAGTGGGGGGACGTGCGCGATTCTGTAGTTAGGCAGCCGGGGACGCCGGGCCGGTGCTGCGCCAGCGTCCTCCTAACAGTCGTGAGCAGCAGCTTTCTCCAGGGAACTCCGTTTACCACGCCCCCCCCACCCCCCGCCAGTGGAGCAACGTCTCCGCTGCTGAGGACTGTGAAGCTCGGGGCCAAGGTCGTCCCAGACCCCGTTCCCTGGTTTACACTGCAGACCATTGGGTCATGTCCTCGGCACTAGATGTTAACTCCTCAAGCACAGCATTTGTCTATCGTTTCCTGCTGTATCCCAGTGAGGGCCAACAAGCACTCGCTGAAAAAAGCAAGGATCGGATTCAGGCTGGACGAGGAGAAACGTGAAGCCAGAGAGGGAGCACAGGGGTCAGCAGATTGGAGGCCTCCAGGAGGCAGCAAGACCAAGTGAGTTAGAGGGAGCAGGGCAGGTGCGGCATTTTCTAGAGTGCTACCTTGGGGACACGGGTTGGGGGCTGTTGGGGTGAGTGAGCAATGATGGGCTACTTTTGATGGTCTCTGAGATCAGGGCAGGCAGCCCATTCTGGCCCAAGCCCATGGGTTTACCTTTTGCAAGCCTCCTACATCCTCTTTCCTCATTGAAAACAGAAGCCAAACCCTTATTTTCCCACCATAGTTACAACCCTGCTGACACCTATCCATTTCCTCCTCTCCTGGGACAATGCAGGAGGGGCCTGTCCACCCATCCACCCTATGACACCACCAGGTTGAGACCTGCCAGCTGGTGACCAGGAGCCTCCTGCTGGCAAGTGTTGCTTTTAGATCAAGTCCCCCCTGCTCAGGGAGCGTGGACACAGCTCTGGGAAACTGAGGGCCACTCTCCACCGTCTAGGGGCACCTAGCAGGTGCTTTATAAATGTCTGGTGATGAATGGACCTGGGGAAAACCCCCCAGCCTGGGAGTTGTAGGGAGAACAGGTGGGGCAAGGAGAGAGCTGTCCTCTGTGGTGCTGACAGCCAGGACTGTGAAGCCCAGAACTGGAGGCAGGGAAAGAGCCGAATCTGTCATTGTGCAGCAGCCCTGAGCAGGGGCTTGAGTCACAGCAGAGCTGTGAGGAGAAAGCATGGTGTCAGACTACAGATAGGCAGAAAGGAAAGAGAGCAGCAGGGGAGACTTGTGTCCAGGTATGGAATGGACAGGAAGGCGAGGGATTGCTGGTAATGAGTACACACCACAGTGGGGGTGGGTGGCAGCAGTCAGACCTGACATACTCTCACCCCGATTTAATGTAAACGGAGCCTGGATTACGGCCACTGACAAAGGACTCCCTCCTTGTGTGACTAATCACCAAACAAAAGAACTACTGTGGTTACCTTGAAGGAAATGCCTATTTACTTTTTTTGTTATATTTGATTACAGTAATAAATTCTTCATAAATTTGCAGCCTCTATCATCTTTTCCCTCCAAACAAACATGGCTCATAACATGTAAAGACAAAACGAAAAAGAACCAAAAGGTCACCTTAGGTGGCTGCAATGGCAGGAGGGACGAGGGAGAAAGGGTGTGAAAAACACCCCCCTGGAAGGTCACAGCTTTGTGAACAGATTGTGGGTGGAGGCCAGGGAGTGAGCCTCACTGCACATCGGGGGCCGGCTTCACTCCCTGGTGTGAGTCAGCTGGTGCTTGAGCAGCTTTGAGCGCTGGCTGAAGGCCTTCCCACAGGCAGTGCAGTCGTAGGGCTTCACTCCAGTGTGAATCCTCTGGTGCTGGATAAGGACTGAGCGCTGACTGAAGGATTTCCCACACTCAGTGCACTTGTAGGGTCTCTCCCCAGTGTGGATGATCTGATGTTGAATGAGATGTGAGCTCTGGCTGAAGCCCTTACCACATTCAATGCATGTGTATGGCTTCTCTCCCGTGTGAACTTTCTGGTGGTGAATGAGGTTTGAGCTTCGGTTGAAGGCTTTACCACACTGGTTGCACTCATGGGGTTTCAATCCATTATGGATTCTCTGATGCTGAATGAGAGTTGAGCTCTGGCTGAAGGTTTTTCCACATTCGGTACATTCATAGGGTTTCTCTCCAGTGTGAACTCGTTGGTGAAGAATAAGGTTAGAGCTGCGGCCAAAGGTCTTCCCACATTCCTGACACTCGTAGGGCTTGTCACCCGTGTGCACACCCTGGTGCTGAATGAGGGCGGAGCTGTGGCTGAAGGCCTTCCCGCAGACGCCACACTCATAGGGCTTTTCTCCCGTGTGGATTATCTGGTGCTTTCTGAGCACTGAGCTGTAACTAAAGGCCTTTCCACACACATTACACACATGAGGCTTCTCTCCAGTGTGAATTCTCCGATGTTGAATGAGGCTTGAACTCTGACTGAATGCCTTCCCGCAGTCACTGCATTTATAGGGTTTCTCTCCTGTGTGAACCCGGTGATGCTTAATGAGATTGGAGACCCGGCTGAATGGCTTGCCGCACTCATTACACTCATAAGGTCTCTCTCCAGTGTGCACCCTCTGGTGCTTCCTCAGATGTGAGCTCTGGCTGAATGCCTTCCCACACTCGTTACACTCAAAAGGCTTCTCGCCTGTGTGAATCCTGTGGTGTTTGATGAGGTTGGAGCTCCGTCTAAAGGCCTTCCCGCAATCGTTGCACACATAAGGCCTCTCCCCAGAATGAATTCTCTGATGTTGGATAAGGTTTGAGCTCCGCCTAAAAGCCTTCCCACACTCACTGCATTCATAGGGCTTCTTGCTCATGTGAGACTTCTGGTGCTTCTTAAGGCTGGAATTCTGGCTGAAGGCTTTTCCACAGTCATTGCAAACGTAAGGCTTCTCTCCACCATGGCTGACCTGATGCCTAATGAGGTTTGAGTGCACATGGAAGGCTTTTCCACATTCGCTGCACTGGTAGGGCTCACTCACAGGAGACCTTCCATGATTTTTAAGAACTAAATTCTGGCTGAGGGCTTTTCCGCATTCATTACCTACAAAGGACTTCTGTCCAGTGTGGATGATCTGATGCTGAATTAGATCAGTGTTTCCTCTGAAGGTTTTCCCACACTCATTACATATGAAGGTGCTTTCAGCTGTGTGGGGACCCTCGTGGCTAGTGAGGTCCATGCTGTGTTGGCCACACGTATACAGATGTGGCCTCTCTTGCACAGAGATTCCTTGATATGCCGCTGGGTGTTGGCTCCGACTAAAGTCTCTCTCAAAATCATCACAGTGCATCTCTCTCTCCCCTAAGGGGCTGGTAAGGAGCACTGCCACTGGTGCGAGGTCCTCCTCTCCGAAGAGGGACTGCACCTGGCTCGTGTCATCAGGGACTCCCCAGTCTCTTTCTAATACATCCTCACAGAGTTCTCCAAGCTCAGGTGCCAGGGAAACATCACTGGTACAGTTTTCTAATATTTATGCCTTCGATTCTAAATCCTCAGAAACATCTTCCTTCTGAAGAAACTCCTTGCCCTCAATCCTGGTGTCCCAATCTGAAATGACAAACATAAAGTCACTTGGAAGGAAACAGGAAAATACAGTCTGGTGGGACCCACTGGGGGTGGCAGTCCCAGATCTCTCGAAGGGACCAGGGAGGGTCAGGGAAGTTCCAAAGGGACAAGGTAGTATGGCAAGTGAACACCAACCTTTAGCCACCTGCCCCAGTACCCACATCTCAGGAAATCACCTGAAGTCTATCTATTGGTTTAGGCCAATCATGTCAAACTCAAAAGTGAACACGGGCCAACTAAACAAGGTTTAATTTATGTGTGCCAAAACAACTCAAAACAAAACAAAAAACCTTCAATTTTCATGGAAACGTAGGTTTATTTCAATAGAGACACGCTAAATACAAAGGGCTGAAATAAATGAGTAATTGTTAACATAAAATAATAGGATATTTTAATAAAAAGTAATATTTTTTTCTTGAACATTAACTTATCAGACACTGAATAACTGCACAAATTAATAAGCGTAACACAAATAAACCCATCTTTCTTTTTGTCTGAAAGCGAAATATTTCCTGTTGTGAACACCAAACAAGTCAGTACAAGACTAATGATGTGCAATCAGCTGCTAAAATATTCGCTGCTAGCATTAGTGGAGAGAAATGGTGTGCCAGTGGGTAAGGGAAATGAATGCAACAGGATTATAGTAATCAATCGTTAGTAAATGTTGTAGTTCACTATTAATAATTATGTATAACAGGATATTGTAAAAATTAAGTTACAAAATTTTTATTAAAACGTTTCTTACATACCGTTATATTGACTGGGTCACAAAAATATTCGTTGTGGGCTGCATGCGGCCTGTGGGCCGTGAGTTTGACATGCTTGGTTTAGGCCAAAGTCCCAGGGGCCCCTTGACTGCCCTTCTTCTCACCCACAGCAGGTCATCAGCAAGTCCTGTTGTCTGTATCTTGGCGTGTGTCCCAAACCCAGGTACTCACCCCTCCCACCTGTACAAGGAAAACATTACATGCCCTGCATGACATTGGTAAACATTCCACCCATTCTTCTTTTCCATGATGCACATTGTAAGCTTCTTGGCCCATGTTGTTCACTCAGTGCTAACTAGTGGCTTCTGGGCTTTGCTGTGGGCAGTCTCTATGGGGGAGGTGGGCCCAGAGAAGCAAAGTTGGTTCCAACTGTGTGGTGTGAACTCCTGTGCAATATCAGATTCTGTCCTTTTTAACACAGGAGCCTTCAGAGACTGTGTCCTGTCCTGCCAAAGCCACCTTTACCTTCTAAAACCTGCAAATGTGACTAGTGTCTGCTGAACAATTTCTTGCCCTGGTACAATGTTTAGGTGGCTGTGCCCATCTTTCTGAAGGTTCCATGGCACAGCAGAAGGGTTTTGGCACCTCCCTCTTGTCTCTTCATGCCTGAAGGAACAAGGAACCCTCGTTCCCGAGTCTCTCATTTGAATGAAGATCTTGAGTCTTTATCTCATTCAAATTGTGACACCCAGGCCATACTGCAGCTGTCTTCTCCTGCCTGGACATTGAGTCAAGCCCCTGGCCTCCCACCTTCCTCTCCTGTCCATAGGCAGCCTGGTGAAGGCAGAGAACTTCATCCTCCTAGTCCCTCCCGGAGCTCACCCCACCCTGCTGTTGCTGTTTTCCAAGCATGGTAGATACCCTCCCCTAGGGTCTGCCTTGTGTGGAACACACCTCACTGGAAAGGCCTTCTCTGACCACCACTCCTCCTTGTTGTCGCCTGCAGCCCAGACTGTGCCCCAACAGGGCTCACGTCCCAGGACTGGGGCAATCCCTTGTCTGGCCATAGTCAGTAGTGCTGAGGGGATAGGTAAAGGACACCCCTCTTGCACTTCCCAGCCTCCTTGGGCCCGTCACCTTCCAACCTGTCCTTCAATTAAGGTCACTACCACCTGGAACTTTAGGAATCTGCTACCACAATAGCACTGTCTCCCTGGCTTGTCTGGATGCTTCTGTTCTCAATGCAGACCTGGCATAGCTACATGCTCAGTTTGTCTGCCCACCACACCCATGCATCATCCAACCCCTGGTCCAGACACACTATGCTGTGGCAACCCCAGGATCAGGAGCCCCAAGGTGTCTAGGGAATGTCTACATGCTCCTGGGCTCCGCCTCTCCTCTCTGACATACACATGACTGCCCCACACCATCTCTGCCCTTAGCCCAGCCTTCCTTGGCCACAGTTTCTGACTAGGGTACTCCGTTCAGATGTCCCAAGTATAACAGTCCCATGTAGGACACAAGAATGTCCTCTTGTACAACAGCCCTCATCAGATCCCATGAAAGAAAGCTAATACTGAGTAACCATCCTGATCGCCACTGGGAGGTGCACAGAAGAGCCAAGCTAGTGAGCGGTTAGGAAGGACTGTCTGGTCAGGCTCTAAAGAGGATGGAAGCAGCTGGGCAGTGCAAAGGAAGACAGAGTGGGCAGGACCAAGACCTGGCAGAGATCTGAGGCAAGAGGACTATCACCACCTGGTGGTCGGGCCAGACAGGGATCATCTGGCAACCGTCACACTGCACCCTCTATGTCAGGCGGGGAAACCAAAGTGTCACACTCAGGACCAGGGCAGCCAACTTCCTTTCTGGCCTCTAGCCTTGGACCCTGAAGTTCATGAAGCACTCCACCCCTAATTATAACACAGATAACTAGTGGGGATCGCAGGGTGACAGAAAGTCCCCTCAGAAGGAGGGCACCAGTGGGGAACTAGGTCCCAGTACCTGGCTGCTGATGGTGAGGGGGGTGGTTCCCAGCTCAGTGTCACTGCAGTAGAGTGGATCACAGAATGCAGATGCAGTGTGGGTCGCGGTGGTAGCATCACTCACACAGGCCTGGGCTGAAGGGGTCCAAGGGGACGGTCCAGGAACTGAGTGCTCCATTTCTGCCTCTTCGGGGCGAGTTCTGAGGCTGGGCATGCCTGGGCCCTGGAGGCCAGAAAGGACACTGCTGAGTGTGCAGCAGGGCTAGCCCTGGGACCAACCTCCCCCTGCACCCCAAGGCCTGAGGGGAACCTGGTGCTGGGTCTCAGGGATCACAGTCCCTGACCGTGGATCCAAGTGGAGTGTCAGCCAGCCACAGGGACAGACTCCTGAGCCAGAGCCCCAGGTGGGCAAGGTGGGGACACAGTGCCCTGTGGGCACACGGGAAGAGCTCAGGCCTGCCATGATAGGCAGAGAGCAGCCCTACAGAGCCTTCACCCACTGTGGGCCCACCCTCATTCCTGACAATGCCCTGAAGGTGGACCACCTGACCCACTCACAGAAGGACCAGCAGCCCCAGATTTTGGGTAGCCAGGGGCAGCCTGTGCTGCATACAGGTGCATGGTCATCGTGGTGGCATCCTAGTGGTCAGTTCTGTCAGAGCTGTGCCCTCCTGGCAGCATCCACAGCAGATAGCCTCCTCTCCTCCCTCCTGGGCTATCCTCTCTGCACCAGTGGCTCCCTCCAAGGTTCTTCATCTCCCTCTTCGCATTGGTGCTCCAGGGTTCACTTCTGTGCTACTCCAACTTCCTGTTAATGTGTCCAGATGGGAGGCATCTACAACCCTTATCCTGTAAAGACTCCCAAACTGGGCTCATCTCTTTAGCCCCAACTGTTCCCTCTGAGCAGGAAGACAAAACATTCCCACCTGGATAGACACACGACAAAGTGTCACACTCAGGACACCAGGGCAGCCAGTCCAGGCCAACTTCCTTTCTGGCCTCTAGCCTTGGTCCCTCAAGTTCATGACGCACTCTGCCCCTAATTATAATACAGACAACTAATGGGAAGCGCAGGGTGACACAAAGTCCCTCCAGAAGGAGGGCACCAGTGGGGAACTTGGTCCCCGTACCTGGCTGCTGATGGGGGCGGGGGGTGGTTCCCAGCTCAGTGTCACTGCAGTACAGTGATACTGATTCCCCCACCCATCCTACTGCTCCATCTTTGTGCAAATCCAGTACTACGTCCAGTAGCTCACCCAGGAGTTGGGCAACACCCCTTACTTAGCTCCTTTTTCACACTGTACCATCAATAGGTACATTGACCCCTCTACCATTGCCTGCCAACCTATGGACTGGATTTAAAATTTTTTTTTTACTGATTTGAGAGAGGGAGGAAGAAAGGGAGTGGGGGGGTGCACTCATTTGTTGTTCCACTTATTTATGCATTCAATTTTGATTCTTATATGTGCTTTTACATAAGCCTTTTGTATCAGAACGATGCTCTAACTGAGCTGCCTGGCCAAGTTGGATTTTTCATCTTGGAAACATCTTTTCAGTGTTTCCCCAACAACCACCATATGCCAATCAGGGTTTGTTCTGGGGATGTTGTGTAGATACAGCAGTGAGAGTGACTCAGGGACTCAGTGGGGAGACAGATCATAGCAAATGCATCAGTGAGATGGGCAAGTTTTCTGGGGAGAGGCAGCAGGGGAGGGGCGGAGCCCTGGGGCTGGGGAGCATTTAAACCAGGTGCAGAGAAGGGTTTTAGGCCAGACCTGCTTAGAAAGGTGGAAGAAGGCATGTGTGAGATGGGACAGAAGTGTGGATGGAGCTCAGAGACAGGATTACTGGGGAGGCAGCCCATAAGAAGCCTTGGCTGTCTATGGTGAGGTACCAGCCACATTTCTATATTACGAAAGAGACAGGACTAACGAACCGTGCCAGGAAGATTATCTTGGTAAAGGTGGTAAGGAGGACGGCATAGACGAAATTCAAAGCAGGGAGAGCACTGACTTAAGACACCTGTCCACGTGGCAGCAGAACAGAGCAGATGTCGCTTCCATGGTGTGTGTGTGTGTGTGTGGGGGGGGGGGGTCGGGTATCACGCTCCCGCTCCCAAGGGGAGACTCGGTCATTTGCAATATTCAAGCAGTTCATTTAATTTTAAGATTCTTGAAATCATTATCACTGCCACCAAATGGGGACAACCATATGGTCAAAATTCAAAAGGTAGAAAAGGACTTATGAAGTATCTCCCAGCCAGCCACTCAGCCCCCTTCCCAGTTTCTAATGCACCCTTCCATATTATTCTAAGCTACATTTTGTCTTTTCATTATAAAGTGTAACAAACTGTGGTCACTTTAGATCTTTTTTTTCTCACCCCAGTACATGTGGGATCTTGGCCAGGAGGACACATAGACCCAATCTGTGGTAGCCAGAATGCCCGTCCCACCCATGTCCACATCTGAATGCCTGGAATCTGTGGATCTGCTACATTACACAGTAAAACAGACTCTGCAGAGGGAATTAAGGTTATGCGCCCGGGTTTCCTGAACTCTAAGAAATGACACGCGTTATCGCTGACTATGAGCCACAGGGGTCACGTGCAAGGACTGGGGCCTCCAGGAGATAAAGGAGTCAGCAAGGAAACACGCCCTCAGTGCAACGACCTCAAGAAACTGGATGCTGCCGTTGAACCTGGAAGCAAATTCTCAGGGCTCAGGGCTCAACCTGGTGCTGAACAGGGACAAGCGGAAGGACAAGCAGTCACCAGTCCAGCACAGGCATCCACAGGAGGGCATGACCCACCCCTCACCCCACTCCCACGAGAGAGCAAATTCCCCCGACTCCCCAGAACCCCTTCTCCGTCCGGAGAGCGAATCCACCCCTGACGAGGCCTCCGAGCAGCGCATCCGGTGCTGCGCGACAGCCCACCTTTCCCCGAGTCCCCGAGGCCCTCGCTCCCCCAGCCCCACGCTCCGGGACAGCACTCACCGCACAGCTGCCCAGTCGCTCTGCGCAGCTGCGCCAGGGGGTCCCGGTGCCCGGCTCCGGGCAGGAAGGTCACCCGCCGCGGTGCACCCTCGGAGAGCGCCACCTGACCCCCGCAAGGGCTCGGACCCGCCCAGGCCCAGCAGACCCCGCCCCTCCGCCAGCGGTTCCCACGCCCCCCTCCCGTCTGCGCTAGATAGTCCGGGGCCAGCACCCACCGCGTGGGCACGGACATCACGCGGGACGGTGGTCGGCACGGTCCGGGGGTCGCTCGGGGAAGCGGCAATGCTGCGGCCGCTCAGTGACTCGGCCGGGAGGCGGACTCCGGAAGTCCCGCCCCCACTTCCTGTCGGAGGGACGAGCGGCCCGGACCCGTGTCGCCGCTCTCGGCGGCTGGAGGCGCAGCGACTCGGAGGGTCCGCCCCGGAACCCCAGCCGGGTGGCCGCAGTCAGAACCCGTCCCTGCAACTAACGGGGTGGTAACTAAATAGAAAAAACACCGATTAGAAATGCAGGTAGAATGAGATATGCCTCTGTGTGGACTTTGATACGCAACTCCTACAATCTGAACAGACTGTAGCTTGATAAAAAAACAAGACTGCACGTGCAAGTCCTGAATCCCTCAATCAAATGATTACAACCAATAGATGGAAAAACTCAAATTCCTCGGACATTATACACTTCCTGAAACTCTTCATGGGACATTTACAAAAATTAATGATACACTTAGACATAAAGAATACCAATATTTTACGGTATGCATTATATAGGCAGATTAAACTTTCAAAATTAGAAATACAGAAAAAGCTGATTTAAAAACCTTTAAGCATTGTAATTTACAAGACAGTATCTACATAACCTTTGAATAAAAAATGATACTAGCTGGGCCTTACCTGGTTTTTCTTAGTAGTTAGAGCGTTGGCTCAAGGGCTGAAGGGTCTCAGATCCCACTTCTAGGCATATACCCTAAGAAACCCGAAACACCAATCAGAAGAGTGTATACACCCCTATGTTCATAGCAGCACAATTTTTGATAGCTAGGATCTGGAAACAGCCCAAGTGTCCATCAGTAGATGAGTGGATAAAAAAGCTGTGGTACATTTACACCATGGAGTACTATGTAACAGTAAAAAAAGAAGGATCTCTACCCTTTGAAACAGCATGGAGGGACCTGGAGAATATTATGCTAAGCGTAATAAGCCAGTCAGAGAAAGACAAGTATCACATGATCTCACTCATATGTGAAATCTAATGAGTAATATAAACCGATGAACAAAATAGATCCAGAGACATAGAAGCGTAGAACAGACTGAGGAATCTCAGAGGGAAGACGGGGGAGGGTGAGTGGGTGGGAAGACATCAAGCAAAGAACTTGTATGCATATATACATATCCCATGGACACAGACAACAGGGTGGTGAAGGTCTGGGGTGGAGGGTGGGGGTGGGGGTGGGGGTGGGGTGGGCTAGAATGGGAGAAAAAGGGGGACATGTAATACTTTCAACAAAAATATTTTTAAAAAATCAAAACAGGTGTTTTTATTGGATTTTGTTAAGTGTATAGGCTTATTTGGAGGAAAATTAACAGCCTTATAATAGTAAATTTTCCAAATACAGTAATATGGAATATCTCTTCATTCATTCAAATCGCCTATTTTGTTGTTGTTAATCCTCACCTGAGAATATTTTTTCCATTACTTTTTAGAGAGAGTGGGAGGGAGGGCGAGAAAGGAAGAAGACATTGATTTCAGACACATCATGGTTTGCCTCTCCCACGTGCCCTAACTGGGGCCTGGGATTGAACCTGCAACCCAGGTACATGCCCTTGACCGGGAATCGAACCCACGATCCTTGGGTGCGCGGGCAGATGCTCTAACCATCGAGCAACAACCGCCAGGGTTCAAATTACCTTTTCGAATCCTGTCACTTGTCATTAAGTTTATTACCAGGTTCTTGCCCCAGGGAGTCTGGCCGACTCTAGGCCACTATTCACAGCGCTACGCTGCGGGACGGCTCTTCCCGTTTGTTTACCTGCTGTTGCTGCTCCGCTGGAAGGTGAGTTGGGAGAGCCAGCTGCCTCCTCTGCGACTGTCATTTCGTCCAGAGCAGCGTCTGCACTTAGTGGGTGCGCGGAAACGTGTTCCAGAGGGCGTCCTGCCTGCAGCCGCCCGCCGCGGGCCCCGCCCACTGTCACCACGCCCACCCCGTGGGTCCCGCCCACCTCCCGCCCACCCCGTGGGTCCCGCCCACCGCGGGCCGCGCTGCAGACGTGTTTCCGGAGGAGGAGGAGCGGATCACGCCGCGGACTGTAGCTACGTAGGTGCCGGCGGCAGCGACTGCAGCGCATGGCGGTGAGCGGTGCCGAGAGGATGCGTGGGTGGCGAGGCCTCGGGCCGTGGGCTGCCCCGCGTGAACCTCTTGCTGCCCCCTTTTCTCCAGACCCTGGGACATCCTGCTCGGGAGACACCGGCGGCCCCAGCCCCAGGTACCGCCCGCGCGCCACGCAGTCCCTGGTCCTCCCCGCCCCCCAGTCCTTCCTCTGTCCGGTTTCACCCGGTTTGTCCCTGTTTAGGACACCCCGTGTGCAGTGACGACACCTCCAGGGCGCCCCCCGTAGGCGGTGAAGGCGAAGCAGCTTCTAGGAAGCAAAAGAAGAAGAAAAGCCGGAATGAGGCCTCTGTGTCGAATGGAGCCGGGAAGGCCTGCGAAAAGCCGGCCCCAGAGGAATCCCTCCCAAGCCCGGAGGCCCAGGCAAGGAAGGCCCTCCGTCGGGAAGGATGGAGGCCTCGGGTGCATTCTGGGTGCGAGTCCCCCAGGGTTTGCGGGAATTAAGGCAGGGAGGGAGGTGGTGGGGGGGGGTGCCCTCAGGGTCCTGGTAGCCTCTCACAGCCACTGTCTCTAATCTGTCTCAGGCGGAGCAGCTGGCTCGGGAACTGGCCTGGTGCGTGGAGCAGCTGGAACTGGGCCTCAAGATGCAGAGACCCAGCCCGAAACAGAGTGAGAGGTCCTTTTGTCGAGTTGGGTGGAGGTGAACTGTGACAGGACTGGCCTGCAGCTGCCGGCCAGGGGTTGGACTTGTTGCTTTTGCGTAGGAGGTGAGGATGGAGGAGGTCTCTAGTCCTTCGTTTTTATCTGCAGAAGAGCAGGCTATCGGGGCGATCCGAACCCTGCGCAGCGAAAGAATCCCTCTGCCCCGCAAGAGGCAGCTGATGCGCTCCTTGTTTGGGGATTACAGGGCTCAGATGGAGGCCGAGTGGCGCGAAGCCCTGCGGGCTCTCAAGACTGGTGAGGAGCTGGGAACAGACTAAACGCCTAGGGAGTGAAAGGAAGAATCTCAGAGCAGCAGGGCTGCCGAGGGGGAGGGGAAGCCTGTGCCCCCGGAGCACAGAACTCGGGCCTCTATGGGGGCGGCAAGGGTGGGAGAGTCGTGAATTTCTGTGCTTCTCCATGGGGTGTGAAGATGATACCTGCCCTAACATTGTGAGAAGTAAATCAGTTCCTTTGTACAAAGTGGTTATAGTTGTATGGGTCCAGTTGGCGTTAGCTGCTATTGCTTTCTGACACTGTCCCCTCTCCCACAGCAGCCCAATCAGCCCGTGTGCAGCCTGTAGGTGAGGCCACCAGAAAGAAGAGCCGAAGGGTCTGCAGGCCCCGCCTCGAAAGGGGAGCCAAGGCCACCCTGGACGTTCCAGACGAAGAGTTTAGGTTCAATTTCTTTTAGCCTCTCCTCCCATCCTGCAGCTGCCCCCTCCCCAGGGTGTAGGGGTTTGCCTGGAGCTCACTCAGTTGGAGGGATGTGGGGCTGGTCTGTTACCCTGGTGCCTGGCTGCTGGTCAGATGTGAGGCCAGCATATTGAATACTGTCTGACAAGCACAAGGCCCCGTTTGTAGGTTTTCAGATGAATGGTTCCTGCTGCTGGAAGAGGGAGATCTACCTAAAAAGGCTTCTGCAGTAAACTGGTGTCAGCATGTTGTAGGAACGTCTTGCTCAGTTTTCAGGGTTAGATTATGTGGCTGAGGGTGAGAGGGAAGCTGCATAATTGCACATTGGTGCTCACTTCGGAAAGGCATGCTGTTACACTGGATGGTGCTTAGGTAAAGAAAAAAATAGTAAAAATAAAAACAAAACAGTAAAAATGGATGAGAGAGTGTGTGCTAATTGCCTGTGTTAGACAAAGTACAGGTGATGCCAGTGTCGGGTACTGGAGTCCAGGCTCAGCCCAGTGCGGTCCTTTGGTCCTTTGTGTTGTCTTCCTGAGCAAGGGCCACCCGCAGGGAGCAGTGTGGCTCCACAGGCCAGCCTCTGTTCTGAGCTGACCAGGCCAGAGTCCCAGGGCTGGTGCTGCAGTGAATCGGGTTTTGCAGTTGTCTCAGTCCTCAGTGGCTTTGATGCTGTCTTTGTTGGTCTCTCACATTTGCATCCCATACTGGATCGATATCTGGAGCCCACCTGTGTAGTCAGCATCTCTACCTCGATGTTTCATAGGCATTTCACGCTTGTTCAGAACATTCACTTAGCCCCAGCTGGTGTGGCTCCGTGGTTGATTGTCAACCTGTGAACCAGGAGATTGCGGTTTGATTCCTGGTCAGGGCACATGCCCGGCTTGCAGGCTGGATCCCTGGTAGGGGGCGTGCAGGAGGCAGCCAATCAATGATTCTCTCTCACCATTAATGTTTCGATCCCTCTTTCCTTCTCTGAAATCACTAAAAATAAATCTTAAAAAATACTAAAGAACATTCAGTTAGCCCCCAAAATCTCTGTTTTCTGTTTTTGTACCTAAAGTTTTTTAGAATTTATTGCAGTAATACTGGTTGATGAAATTTTACAGCTTTTAGGTACATGATTCTACAAATTATCATCGGTACAACTGTATTGTGTGTTCACCACCCCAAGTCAAATCTCCATCACCATTTATCCCCCCCCCTCCGTACTCCCCCACCTTCCTCCATCCCTCCTCCCCCTGGCAATCACCACACTGTTGTCTGTCCAGGAGGTTTTTTTTCTTTTTTGCTCAGTACCACCCACCTCAACCTCCAGCTTCCTCCAGGCCTCATCCTGACTGATGCTTGAGCCTCCAGGGTTAGTCCCAGCCCTCCGTGGAGTGACCTATCATGCCGGGTACTGTTTCATCAGTCACTGTATTGTGCCCAGGACAGTGTGAAGGCTGGTGGGTGAGGCCTCACAGGGGGCCTGCACATTTTCATGCTCCTGACTGACATCTGATGTGGCCCCCTCCCCCTGTTCCAATCCTGCTGCTCCTGAAGTAACCACATTAATCCTGCATCAAGGTCTTTACTGGCTTCTGGGAGAAACAGCTTTCAGAAAGTAACTGCCCTGGCCAGAGTTGCTCAGTGGTGAGTGTCTGCTCGCACACTAAAGGGTGGCTGGTTTGATTCCCAGTCAAGGGCATGTACCTGGGCTTCAGGTTTCACCCCGGCCTGGAGGGGGCGTGTGCTCAGGAAGCAGCCAATCAATGTGTCTGACATGGATGCTTCCCTCCCATTTTTAAGGAAAACAAACGGAGGGGCCCAGTTGAGCGCTGTCATGCAGCTGCGCTTCACAGCAAGTCCCCCTACCAGGTTGAACTTTGGGAAGCACAACACACTGGGAAAGTTGCCTTTGAAGACCAGAGATGGGAGTGTGCTGTCTGCCCTCTGTGAGCCACCGTCCAGCTGCCTTATCCATTGTTGTTGTTAATCCTCACTGGATATTTTCCCACTGATTTTTATAGATAGTGGAAGAGAGAGGGAAAGACAGAAACATTGGTGTGAGAGAGACACATCTCCTGCAGAAGCCCCGGGCCCAGGCTGGAGAGGAGCCTGCAACTGAGGCATGTGCCCTTGCCCGGAATCGAACCTGGGAGCCTTCAGTCCGCAGGCCGACCGTCTATCCATTGAGCCAAACTAGCTGCTCACACTTGGCTTTCCTTTGTTGCTGCGACTTATTTCTCAGGCAGGAGCCACAGCCACCCCTGCGTCTCTCCTGTGTCTTGTGTGCTGAGCCCTTTTGTATGTTATATTCCCCAGGTTAAGTGAACGTTGCCCTAAAAATGATGTGTTTTAGTTGTAAGCACATGGCCCGGTGACTGGTATTGCGGCTGTCGACCCTCTGCTGCTCTCTTGTGGCCATTGCAGAAAAACGCTGTGCTTATGGCCTTGGTGCTGAAATTTCATGTCCTAAAAATCTCTTCATAAAAAACTCGAAAAAGGCCGAAACCGGTTTGGCTCAGTGGATAGAGCGTCGGCCTGCGGACTGAAAGGTCCTAGGTTCGATTCCGGTCAAGGGCATGTGCCTGGGTTGCGGGCATATCCCCAGTTGGAGATGTGCAGGAGGCAGCTGGTCGATGTTTCTCTCTCATCGATGTTTCTAGCTCTGTGTCTCTCTTCCTTCCTCTCTGTAAAAAATCAATAAAATATATTTAAAAAAAAAAACTTGAAAAAGAAAACCCAGAGCCCTAACTGGTTTGGCTCAGTGGATGGAGCGTCGGCCTGTGGACTGAAGGGTCCCAGGTTCACTTCTGGCCAAGGGCATGTACCTGGGTTGCGGGCACATCCCCAGTAGGGGGTGTGCAGGAGGCAGCTGATGGATGTTTCTCTCTCTATCCCGCTCCCTTCCTCTGTGTAAAAAAATCAATAAAAATATTTTTAAGAAGAAACTAACAAACAAAGATCACAGAAAAACCCTAGAAAATCATCGAGGCTGTCCAGGGTGCCATTATTTTTCCCCCTGGATGGACTGAAGTCACGGGTCTGGATTTTGCACCCCTTCCGGTCCCATCCCTGGAAAGGGAGGCCTTGTCTGCTGCAGTGACATGGGGAAGCTGTGCGTTCACTAATGCAGTCCGTAACCTAGAGGCTGCCATTATTGAAGCAGTCAGTCCTGGGGAGGCCACCGTTAAGGCAGCCAGTATCGGACAGGTCACCTTTACTGAGGCATCCAGTCAGCCGGAGGCCGTTGTGATTGCGGCAGCCAGTCCCGTGGATGACCCCATTATGGAGGCAGCCATTCTGTGCAGCGAGGTGCAGGGGTATCGGGAGAAGGTGTTATTCCCGCTCGACTCAGCGGCCTCTGGAGAGGCCTCCTTTACTGAGGCCTGGAGACTGTACCCTGGAGTCTGCACTGATGGATGCAATGAGTAGCCTAGCGGTGGGCATTCCTGAGGCAGTGCTTCCCCTGTAGGCTGCTACTGATGCAGTGAGTACCAGGGAGGCTGTGATTGTTGATGGCACTTCCAGATGCAGGGTTATCGTGGGAATGTGTTCTTACCACGAGAAAGAAATTGAATGTAAAGGTTTTTGTAGAAACATAGTGAGGTTTTTAAAACTAATTTTTATAGATTTCAGAGATGAAGGGAGAGGCAGGGAGGGATGGAGGGAGGGAGATGGAAACATCAATTATCAGAGAGAATCATGGATCAGCTGCCTCCTGTCCCCCTCCCCCTGACTGGGGATCGAGCCCACAAGCAGGGCATGTGCCCAGATTGGGAATCGAACCAGGGACCTTTCAGTTCGCTGGCCGTCGCTCTACCCACTGAGCGACAGCGGTCAGGGCTACAGTGTGTTCTTTAGAAATGTTTATTTGTCGTATTTCAGAAAGGAAGAGAGAAGCATGAATGATGAGTGATCATGGTAGATTGGCTGCCTTCCTTGTGCAAGAAGAAAGAGTGACATGTGTTGTCATCTGCTAAGCGGAAGGAATAGGCCCTGGCCAGTGTTGCTCACCGGATAGACGTTCGGATGCCCAGGGAAGGGTCGCTGGTGGCACTCCTGGTCCCGAGCACATACCTGGGATGCAGGTTTCATTGTCTGCCCCGGTGTGGGCTCCTGTGGGAGCCCAGGATCCATGTGTCTCCTGCATACTCATGTTCGCTTGTTTGTTTTCTCTCTCTCCTCCCCCTCCCTCCCTTCCACGCTCTCTAAAAAAATGAAAGGTGAAAACATCTCCTGTATAAAGAATTAAGCAAAACATGCACCCATAAAAAGTAGAAAGCAGGAAAAGATTTGGAGGGTGTGAAAAAGCACCATATCCGCCAAGAAAGGCACCATGATGAGCAGAGCATTCAGCTCCGCTGATGTTTTTCCACGCGATGTGTGAATAAGATAAAAATAAAATGTTCGAGTGTCCCTCAGCTGCCAAGTTCCTGACACAACAGGACGAGGCCACTCTAGCAGGGTCCTTGCAGGGTCTCCCAAGCCACCAGGTCAGGGGCGAGGCCGGGAGGAGCAGGGGAAAGTGAGGTGTGAAGGAGGTGGGAAATGGACAGAGGAGGGTTGTGCAGGTGTTCCCGTCTGCTGCGTTGTGTCGCTGCTCCCAGAGTCCCCGCCACTGAGAAGATGCGAGCAGACTCAGCTGGTGTCGGTGACCGAGGGACACCCAGACCTAGGGACACACGGACCGAGGGCCAGACATACCATGGAGTCCGCAGTGGCCAGGAGAGGTGACATCCGGGAGCCTGTGGCCACTGTGCTGGTTCCTCGTATTGTCCCGGAGGTACCTTGTCAGTGTTTTTTGACTCCAGAACCGTGTCTTTCATTTCCCCACACACACAGCCCTTACTGGATGGTGACTCTGTCCAAGACACAAGACCTGTGTGGACATCCATGTACACAAGAGCTGCTGGTTGGAAAGTGATGTCCAACTTGTTTTGTGTAGTTATTATCTGCAAAATCAATGAGAGCCAAGCAGGTATGTGTTCGATGTATTATACATTTGTGTTCTATATAGATTTTATTTTAGAAAATGACATTTCTCATACAAAGCTGCCTTTGTAAGTGTAACTAAATGAGCATGTTAAAAACTTTGTAAGTGTGAAGAGATCAACCGAAGGACTGGTATGCACGCATGCATATAAGCATAACCAATGGACATAAGACCCTGGAGGGTAGGGGAGGTCATGTGATTGTCAAGGGCGGGGAAAAAAGGAGACATATGTAATACTCTTTGTAATACTTTAAGCAATAAAAGAATTAAAAAAATAAAAAAGTAAAAAACTTTGTAAGTGTGTATGTCTTACTTGGTAAATGTTTAGAATCTTGGTCAGTATGAGTGTGTATCGCTGCCCACTGAAGTGTCGGGGGTCATGTGTTGTGAGCGAAGCCAAATCTTTGCGAGCTAAGTGACCATCCCCATTGTGGAGACAGCCTTCATGGTTTTCCCTTCATTCTATGTGATGAAGCAATAGGCAGAAGGTAGAAGTAGAGTGTTGCCGGGGTCCAGTCTCAGCGGTCCAGGGGTCCGCCAAGGTGTGGACGGCTTCAAAGGATGGCACGGCTTGCGGCAGACTTGTAGTGATGCCACACCTGGCAGTTGCTGTGCTGATGGAAACAGGCCAGGCTTGACGCTGAGAGCAACCTTGGAACACCGGCAACGTAAAGCTTGTCATCGCCACAGCATGTCGTGTCCCCAGCCAGGGCCGCCTTGTGTTTGTAGTCAAGAGGTCATGCAAATAGCAACATGCAGCTCAGCGAGTGAGGCTCAGTGATTGAATGTTGAGGCCTGAAGCAAGAAGTCCCCTTGATTCCTGGTAAGGGCACACCTATGAGGTGACTGATTTTTTTTGTCTGTGACATCGATGTTTCCCTTTCCCTGTCCCTCTCCCTGTGTGTGTCAGATCCATAACAAATTTAAAATAAAAGTGTAAAGCCCTGACCGGTTTGGCTCAGTGGATAGAGCGTCGACCTGTGGACTCAAGGGTCCCAGGTTCGATTCCGATCAAGGGTATGTACCTTGGTTGCGGGCACATCCCCAGTAGGGAATGTGCAGGAGGCAGCTGATAGATGTTTCTCTCTCATCGATGTTTCTAACTCTCTATCCCTCTACCCTCCTTTCTGTAAAAAATCAATAAAAAATATTTAAAATAAAAGTGTAAAGTGTTGATTCTCTTCCTATTGTACCCCCAAAAGGTATCCGATTTTAGTGCGATCACCTACCCCTTTTCTTCCTTAGTCATGGTGAGAATTTTGTTCCCTGAATGCTCACACTATCATCTCACATGCAAACCTGTGAACACACAGCCACACAAAGAGCTGAGCATCCCATCCTGGGGAATTTTCTAGTTCCTCACAAAGGAAGTGAGATTCCTTGCATTGGAAATGGAAAGAAATGGCAGAGCAAGCTGTGCACGAAGATGAAGGGTAATCATTGCAACCTGGAAAAGATGTATTGAAGAAATGAAGGTGTGATGATGGTGTATGTGGATCCTGATGTGGAGGTAGATCCTGTATGTGTAGGTTTGTGGCTGGGGGACAGCAACATTTGTCATGTGAATGAGGACTTGATTGTGCAAACTTTCGTTCAGCCCCTGAGAGATAGTCAGCAGAGGTGGTGAGCCACTTGGGAATGTGTGGTCTTCCAAT